AAATCAATATCGGTCGATCCCTATCGTCTAGTTACTGGGCGTGTTTCACGGCGCCCCATTCTTCTGCTGGCGTGGCCGCACATAAACTAAGCGGCCACGCTGACAGAGATATTGTATACTTACCTTGGTCGCGGCAAACCGCTGCCTGACCTCCTTCCATTCCCCAGCGAGTACGACGTTCCTAGAGACGCCAGCCACTGTGGTTCTGGTTTTAATAGGAAACTCCCCTTCGCCCACATCAAAGATGGCGCCAACGTGCATGCGACGTCACGACATAGATGCGCACGCACGTTTTGGGGTCAGGGGCCAGAGACAACCAATTACAGCCTTAAGAGGGTTATTTAAACCCAAATTTCCTTTTGGTCATTGCCCTGTCATGGTGTCCACTAGCAGGTTATTAGATAGTGTGTTCCTGATCATGTTTTTTTCTGGTATTTAACTTTGGCTTTGTTTTGACTTCCCCGATTTCTGGTATTCTTGACTTCTGGCTTTCCTCATTGTTGTGTCACGTTCTGTGTCCCTGACCACGGCAAGTATTTTGACTATTCTCCGGTACGTTAAGTCCGGCCATTCTAAGGTCCGGTTAAATGTTATCCTCAGTCCTAGGTGTGATACTATTCTGCGTGCTGGATCAATTATTATCCTGACAGCGTGGAAGAGTTATGATCACTGACCACTGTTTCTTCTAGCTTCAAAGAGGAATCAGCGGAGATACCTAGTTGGGGTATTGGAGCTCCGCTACAGATTTATTCTCTAAATTCCAAATTGTAGTATATTAAAATTCAAATAGCAAAATTTAAGCTTAAATAGTCTAGCTGTGGCTATAGCAGAGACCTTTTCAAAAATATAGGTTTCTGCCTACATTTTGGCATTCACATATCAGTTCACTGAACTTTATAATTTGGAGAATGAACCTTATAATGAATAACCCTGAAAACAAGGTGGGAAATACAAAGGATACATTTCAGAACAAAATGCACAGATTCAATAGCATATGCCAGGCATAACATTTGGCAAACAGCTGTAGGACTTTAGCTAACATTTCCCATCATTTCAGATGGACAAATAGGGAATTTTAAAGTGACAATGTCACGGTCTGTGGATTTTGGAGAATTTGCAACGGCCCCCCCGACAGTGGTATCACCTCCAGTGGCCGGAAGCAGGTAAAGGGGAGTACTGCTTACCTGAATCTGTCCTTCGCGGGCACTGCAATCTTCTTCCAACAGTGCCGCTTTAATGATAAAGGATGTGGTTGCCTTATATCTAGCACACACAGTCAGTGACAGAGTACTAGGTCATCCAGATTCCAAAAAGGCACAGAAACGTTATATCCCCCTTTATTATTAGGCCTATTAATACATAGCTCTTTACCACCATGCTAGTTTTTCCATCATATATATAGATCTTAATGTCATATAGATCTTAATGTCATCATTCAAAACTGTGTGAAGAAACAGAGAAACAAGAATATTACCACAGGTGTCTCACAATCATTCCATACAACAGTGATAGCAATCCTGTGGCATTGCAGAGGCCTCTCTGCTGCAACAGGAGCCTAAGAGCTTGCCATGTTACAGGTGTAAGGGCAGGCACAACTGTACTTTGACACAGGTGCCAGCCAAAAGGGACAGTGTATGAGGACACTACCACCACTATAAAAAGAGCAATTCTTATTAGAACGCTGAATCAGCAATATATTTAAAAAAATTGTTTCTTAGTGGTCAGGTGGTGGAGACCGTGCTATTACTCAATGAGGGAGTCATAGCACAGTCTCCAAGATTCCCAGCATGCTCTCTACTTTCCTCACTGGACACCAGACCATAAGGTGTGATTATTATAGACTTCATAAGGTAGAGGCGAAGACCATGCACTCCACCACCAGATCACTAGGGCATCGGTATAAAGACAACTGGACCAGGGATTTATTATTAATTCACACTGGGCCACAAGGGAAACATTAAGATCCACTGGACCATTTTGGGGGTTTAAAAAGAGAAGCAGGACAGGTGACAAAACATTTTTATATATATTTTTTTTTATTAATAATGCAGATAAATGAAAATAAATACCAACCATAGACATTACACACAGCCTGTGGCATTGCATGCAACTTTGCGATGATAAATAAAGTTGGTCCCAAGTTGCAATTTGGGCATGTGGGCTCATAAAGGTCCACCATAACTCCCCTATGGTATCTGAAATTGCATTCTGCCTGTTTTTTTCTGTTGCTACAGGATGTTGACAAAGAGGCAAACACTGCAGCACATAGCTCCCCTGAAAGCCATCCATCAGCTGGGCAAAACCTGGACGGCAAAAAAGCAGTAATAGATTTGATGGGAAATTTGGGGGTTTGCATCAAAAGCATCAACCCAATGAATAAGGTACTGACATTTACTTCTAGAGAACCTGATGTCTACAACAGATTGGAGCTTGTATTCTTCCTCATTATTGACTAGATCTGGGGAAGGAGAAACCATAATCCAGGTTTAATGATTGCATATGAGTGGTTTCAATAACAAGGTATGGAAAGTGTTTGCAATTCACATAGGAGGCACATCTAGAACATACGTCACCGGGTTAATCTGGAATACGATTTTTTTTTTTTTTAAAGAATATATGTATCAAGGAGCATACTTCATGTAGGGTGGTTAAAGCTTATGATAATATAATAGGAGCGCAGATGGTAATAGAGGGAAAGAGAGAATAAATCAATATGAGTATTCCCGTTTAGATAGACTAAAAACATTACATGTATTAAAATAGACCAATAGAGGCAGCAGACCTTTGGATAGGGCTGAAAACACAAACCTATCTAATCAGCAAATGCATCATACACTGATCAGCTACAACCTTAAAACCACTGACAGGTGACGTGAATAATATTCATTATATTTTGTTGCAATAGAACCTATAAAAGGGTGGGATATGGGATAGGCAGCAAATGAACATTCAGTTTTTGAATTTCATTTGTTGGAAACAGGAAAAATGGGTAAGCTCTGATCTGAGGGACTTTGAGAAGGGCCAAGTAGTGATGGCTAGATGACTAGGTCAAAACAATCTCCAAAACGTTGTCTCTTCCCGTTATGCAGTGGTGCAAGGAAGGACAACTGTAGTGCCCATGATGACCCCTGTCCACCAGCGAAAGCATGTTCAATGAAGAAGTGAGACTCAGAACTGGACCATGGAGCAAAGGAAGAAGGTTGTCTAGTCTTATGAATCACTTTTAGATCAGGTGGATGGCTGGGTGTGTGTGCGCATCAATTACCTGTGGAAGAGATGACAGCAGGATGCACTATTGGAAGAAGGCAGGCCTGTGGAGGCAATGTTATGCTTTAGCCAATGTTCTGATGGAAAACCTTGGGTCCTGAATGTTACTTTGACACATACCACCTACCTAGAGATTGTTGCAGACCACGTACACCTGTTCATGGCAATGGTGTTCCCTGATGGCAATTGCCTCATTTAGCAGGGTAATGCACCCTGCCACACTGCAAAGATTGTTCAGGAATGGTTTGAGGCACATGATAAAGAGTCCAAGGTATTGCCTTGGCCTCCAAATTCCACAGATCTCAATCTGATTGAGAATTTGTGGGATGTGTTTTGTGGTAAACACCTCTAAAGGCACTGAAAGACTATATCACTCCCTTGGTCTTCGGTTCCTCTTCCCCTCTAGAGAAGCCCAGCAGACACATATGCCCTGCCTATTCGCAAGCTATTTCCCCAACAGCAACATACCGAACGAGTCAGCAGGCCTTTTAAGTTCACCTTGGAACTCCAGCTCGGCCACACAGACCACCATATCCCCGTTCACTTGCCATCCAATTTTCACCCCTTTCTAGATACCCTAGAAGAGCGCTCTTTGGAAGTGAGCTATAAGGTGTGGAGAGGAATAATTGCTACCTATGTGGCAGAGAGAGCCCCCATCTAGAGCCGCCCAGAGACCCTGTTAAAGGACCAGCCAATACCTCTAACTGCTTAGAACTGTTTTCAGCAGGAGACCACACTAGCGGTCGGTCTAAACAATAACAGGGTGGCGTTTCCACAAAACCCCATGGATCAGAGCGCTATTTGGACAGATTGGGAGATCCATTGAAATCTATCTGGGGATATAAAACTTGTCGGGGTTCTTTGTGTTTCGGGGTATCACTGTATTCTGTTCTCTGTATCCGGGAGATAATTAACTTACTGGTCCTTGACTCAATTATCTCCCAAACACAGGGACGCCAGGGCGGGATCACAGTATAGAAGAATGGAGATCCCATGCTGGGGGTCTAAGCATAAAAGGCTGCATTCTGAGCAATAAAAACAGATTCCCCCAGAACTATGTCTCGTCTGGTTACTGGGGGTAGAAGAAAGCTATATTCACTAACGGTTCCAGTCTGGCTGAGTGGAGAGTTTAACGGAGGTAACTAGTCAGGTTACCGGTGGTCCGCTACATGCTTGAACAACAAAACTAATCCATGGAGGCCCCACCTCGTAACTTGTGGGACAAAGGATTTGCTGCTAATGTCTTGGGATCAGATACCACAGGACACGTTCAGAGGTCTTGTGGAGTCCATGGCTGAACACATCAGAGCTGTTTTGGCAGAATGAGGTAGACATACACTAGATTAGGCAGGTGGTATCAATGTTGTGGCTGATTAGGTTAAAATACTTAGAACTGTGCGATCTATTGTGTCTATATACACTATTAGAATACACAATTGATGTAAAATGCAGACTTATAAAGATAAATAGGCAAGTCTGACAATCTTCAAGAAATTGTCTCTTATATCCTCAGTCCTCCGTAGGGGTAACATCAATAAGAAATTTAAAAGCAAAAACATTAAATAGCACATAATACAATAAGTAATATAATGACAAATAATTCTATTTTTAATTCTATTACTTTTATTTTATTTTTTTTAAATTCTTTATTTTATTTGTGCGCAGATGAATACATCCGTTTGCATCGCCATAACATCAAATACAGGTGTAACATCACAGGTTCTGATATGGCAGTCAAGACAGCACATTTGGTGTACATAATACCGAAGAAGATCATGAGCTTAGCGAATTTATGGCTTTTACAACATCAAAAACAGGAATGTAGAAAACCAAATCATTTCTTGTCTTGATGACGGTCAGAGACACTCCCGTCAAAGCTGAATACGTGTGCACGTGGATGCTATGTGGTAAACCAGGGTTAGCTCCACATCCCTGGCCCAGGTACCCTATACCTCTAGTTTGCATCCCGCAGGAATATGGCACACTTCATCTCCTGATCTAAATGTGCTGTAGGCGGTACCATACTAAGTCCGGTCCCCCACCCTCCGAGTGAGGGTCAGGGCGACGGACTACAGACAAAGTTAAGAGACATGAGTAGAGTAGAGGAAGGAAAGAAGAAAGAAGGTAAGTGAATTAGTAAGTAAGTCGGGGCAATGAGGTTCCACGGAGGAGGCAGCGGGTGAGAGGGGGAAGCCAAAGACCGGGACAGACCCCCGCGCCCACGTCCTCCCCCCATCCCTCGAGGCTGTCCCGCCCCCCCTAAGCCCCCAGCGGACTCCCATCCCATGGCTGCCAGACCTTACTGAATGACCCCATGGATCCTCTCAGTCTGGCCGTTAAGTCGTCCATTAGTCTCACCTCCTTTATACGTGAGTATACACTTGCTATCTGTGGCGCTTCTGGTTGTAACCATGTGTATGTTATCGCTCTCCTGGCTGCTAAGGTGAGCTTATGGAGTAGTGTCTGCTCCCGTTTCGTCCATCCATCTATGGACCTGTTGAGGAGATAAACCCAAGGATCTAATGTTGGAGCTCTAGAGAAAACCTGGGTTAGAAGGTCCTTGATGGACCCCCAAAACCCGTTAAGCTTCGGACATTCCCACCACATGTGCAGGTATGTCCCCCTATTACCACACCCGCGCCAACAGTCATCTGTGGTGGTTTGATGCATCTTGAATAATTTAACAGGGGTCACATACCAACGGAACATCGTTTTGAAGGATTGTTCTTGTAGTGCTACACATACCGACGTCGTTCTGCTAGCCTCCCAGATCTCCTGCCACTCCACCCCCTCGAGTTCCTCCCCTAGGTCCCTCTCCCATTGGGCAATATAAGACATCTCCCCCCACTCCTCCGCCATAGAGCAAAGGTGCGTGTAGAGCCGCGCTATGAGTCCCCTTGGTATGCTCCCTGTCTCGCACATAGATTTAAAAAAAAATTTAAAAAAATAAAAAAAGTCAGTGGTCCCTGTGCTATTGCCTTGAAATGTGGTTGCCTAGCATAGTCTCTAATATGCAAAACGCGGAAGAAATCCGCTGGTGGTAGGTGTCTTTCCTGTCGCAGGTCATCAAATGTTACCATGTCTGGGCCCCGGTAGAGGTGGCGAAGTCTCTGCAGGCCCGCGTACTCTAAATTTCTAAAATTCCTAGCCGCCATCCCAGGGGGAAACTCCTGATTTCGTAGTATTGGCATAAGAGGGGAGGGAGAAGACGCCAGCCCATATTTTCCCTTACACGAGTCCCACAACCGCAGGGAGTTTAGCACCGCCGGACAGGTGACCCCAATCGGTGGCCTGTATTCCTTGGGCACCCACATCACGAACTGGGGCATATCTATCCCCATCATAACCAACTCTATGTCCACCCATCTCCGCCCGTCTGGGGGAGAGTGCCAGAGCGCTACCTGGGCTAATTGCGCCGCTAAATAGTAGTGGTACAGATCCGGGAGGCAGAGTCCTCCTCTCGTCCGTGGCCTATACAGAACATATCTTGATATTCGGTGTCTCTTATGTTACCATACAAAGTTCCCAATTGCCCGCTGGAGCGGAGCCAGCTGTGCCGTCGTCAAGGGGATCGGAAGCACCTGGAAAAGGAACAAAGCCCTGGGCAGGACGTTCATTTTGACAGAATGGATTCGCCCTATCCAGGAGATTGGCTTATCGATCCATCTGTCCATATCCCTCATCAATGCTTGCCATAACGGAGTATAGTTGCAAGCATATAGGTCGTCCGGATCTGCAGTTAATTGGATTCCCAGATGTTTAAAGGACCACTATAGTGCCAGGAAAACACTCGTTTTCCTGGCACTATAGTGCCCTGAGGGTGCCCCCACCCTCAGGGACCCCCTCCCGCAGGGCTCTGGAGAGAGGAAGGGGTTAAACACTTACCTTTCTCCAGCGCCGGGGCGGGGAGCTGTAGTCCTCCTCTCCTCCTTGCTCGCGACGTCATCGGCTGAATGCGCATGCCCCCCCCCCGAAATGGTTAAAAAGTTTGACCATATGGGGTCAAAGCTCCTCTGCAAAGGTTTTATAATAAGCGCCGTCTAACCCATCCGGTCCCGGAGCCTTATTCCCCGGTAGCCCCCTTATCGCCCTGCCCACCTCCTCTTCCGTGATCTCTGCCGCTAACTGTGTCCGAGCCTCTCTGGGAAGCCGGGGCAATTCCAGGCTGTGCAGAAATCTGCGGATGCAGTCTGTCTCCTGAACGCCACTTTGGCCGTCTGGAGACAGAAAACCTCCGCCACCTCCCTGGGTGTAGTTTTTAGAATTCTATTACTTTTAAAATAATAAATTTTATAGTGCATCGCTGTATAAATGATAAGCAATATGTAAACATTTAGTATAGAAGAGTAAGAATAGGTTTCATAGAAAGCAACGACGTAGCACCTTTTTTTTTTTTTTTTAAACAACCAAACAGTTTCAAACTAGGTACAGCTGAGAGGACTCAAAAATTATATAAAAGAGAAGGTATACTCCCAGGTGAATCCAAAAATAGGGTAAAATTATGCTTTCAGGTCTAACATTGGGAGGTGGTTGTGTTGTAGCATATAGGCGATTATGGTTGCATGGATAATTAACCACGGTTTGGAGGATTTAGAGTGGTAATATGAGACGACATAGGTATATGCCAATTAGATGGACTTATAAGAACAAGTGAGGGTGATGACATCCACTAGACTTGAAATTTTTTTTTACAAAAAATCAATATCGATCGCCCCTAGCCCAAGGGGCAGCAGGGAAGGGGGAATCGACACCATTTGGCTGTTACTGACGGTATGGATTAATACATCTCTCGACCGCGTTAAAAGTATAAGAGAGAAAGTAAAAGGGTTCAAAGTAAGAAGTAAAAGATACTAAAGATACATCCAGCTCTGTAGCAGAGTATCGAAATATAAGAGTATCGAAATATAAGAAATATTATAGACGTATACCGTATTTTTCGCTCCATAAGCGCACCTCACCATAAGACGCACCTAGTTTTTAGAGGAGGAAACCCAGAAAAAAAAATATTCTGAACAAACTGTTCCATAGTGTTTCTTAGCATGAGTGTGCACACTTCCTTTCAGTCCCGCCGGAAACCGGAACCTGAAATAGAAGTTCCTGGACCGCGGAGCGCGCTGTGAAGCCGGCCCACGCTCCAAGACAGGTTAGTAATTCTTCACATTCGCTCCATAAGACGCACAGACATTTCCCCTCACTTTTGAGGGGGAAAAAAGTGCGTCTTATGGAGCGAAAAATACGGTATATGCTCAGAACATTAGGCAACATAAAAACATTTGCATGGCACATATGCTAATCTGGACAACAGGTTAGAATTTGACAACTCTGCAACGGTATTGGAGTAGCACTGCCTTCCACTGCAATCAGGTTCCTCAGGCGTGCCATCCTCCGGTTCTCAGGACGAATGGGACGACGTTGGAGGGTTCCCAGGCTCCCCTGAGGGCAATCGTGGGCAAGCTTGCATTGTTGGTAGCCAGTCCTAAAAAGGTAAGTGCCTCCACCGCTGAGGCAAGCATGTAGGTAACTCCATTGTGCATTGCCATCAAGGTTACGGGTGTCCCCCATCTATAGGCCACCACAGCAGCTCTCAGTTGGGAAATGATCGGACTTGAGCCAAAGTAAAGTGGCCCAGGTGATGTCTTGAAAGAAGGACATAGATGAGCCTTCAAAAAGGTCAGCGGGGTTGAATTTGGCTCTTGTCTTGGGAGGTCATGCAATGGAGGACAACGTCCCAGATTAGGGCAGGCAATGATTTGGCTGGACCTGCTACTCGGTAGACTCCATCAACTTATTTTAGCTGTGTGAGGTAAGATTGTTCCCAGTAGCCTACTAATATAATGAGGTAGTTCCTCAACCAAAATGGCAGTTGATCCCGCGGATTTTGAAGTTGTTGTGGCGCGGTCGGTCTTCCATGGTAATCATTTGGTGGGTTTGGGGTGGTTTCATCGAGTCTTTAACAGCTGTAAGATCTAAGATGTCCTCCTCAGAAGTTCTCACCCAGTCTGCAACAGCCTGGTTGTCAGTTTTAATAAGCGCCAGATCAGCTCCTCATACTTTATGTATGTCTGCCAGTAGGACTTTCAAGTCATTTTTAGTGGTGGGAGCAGAGCCATCAAATAGCTAGGTGAGCTGCTGATGTACAGTCAGAGCACCAATTGTTCTGGCACGGTAGTAGGTGTGCGTGCCCTCCGCTGGTTGCGTGGGTCTTTGCAGCAGGCTGACGATGTTCCTACCATCCTCGGCGGTGCCCGGTTTCTACAAGCGACGTCCCATGGCCAGCATGTTGTGTAGCAGGGTAGGCGATGTGTGTGACATACCCAGCAGGCCTCCCGCAGCTTATCCACCAAGGAGTGTCTCCACGTAGGGTATGGTCGGCATTAGGTAGGCCCCGGTCTTGTGCTGCTTCGGGAAATGAAAGAAAGGCATCTATTGATGCTGCCCGTTCTGCAGAGGCAATATCAGAGGTTTATAGAGCTGGATGGGCTCAGGAAACTGAGATATTGGGTAGATTTTAGGGTAATCATGAGGAGCTGTGAGAAATGGCATCTGCACAGTGTGCTTGCGAGCTCCACCACCTGCATCTGTTCTTTTAAACTCCATTGTAAGTTAGTAAACATTTTTTTTTTTTATACAACATTGCCTATTTGCATTACAATTAGATTTTTTTTTCTCTCGAGTGGATGACTTCTCCTTATCACTGAAAACCTGATGATCTGAACAACAAGAAAAGGTAACCCTTTGAGGGGAGACTCTTTACAAGGCATCATTTCAACTCACAAATTGTGAGTGGCCAATTGGAATTGCGATTACTTTTCCCCATATTTTTTTGGCTCTCATTGTATGCACTTTGGCTTGTGAACACATTCCTTTTTTAGAGTGGTAGGTGGAATATCAGTACTTGTAATTATAGTATGTGGCTGCTGAAACTTCACAAAAACCAGAGTCTTCTTTTCTAGTGGTACGAAGGATGTAAATAGTAGGATCAGGGAGCAGCACCCGTGATGGTGTTCCCACGCTCAGAGCGATATGTAGGAGGGAAGGAAAAAGACACGGATATAGTGTAGTATGTTGAGATCTTAAGTGATAGAAAATGAAGGGAAAGGAATGGCACTTACAATTTTCTGGAGCCTATACCCAGCTGCAGATTTGTGCGCCTGGACGGTACAATCCCCGCCTATGGATATATAGATGGTCCTTGGATGTCCTCAAAAGGGGGTCTCCAGTGGTAGTAGGGTATATATTCTTTCCAATGGCAGTATGCCGGTATTCAAATAGTTGGTGATATATAAAAAAACAAAAAGAGGATAGAAACACAAAATAGTGCCCTCTGGATAATACAAAATAAAATGGGTCTCTGGATAATACAAAATAAAATAAAATGAATATTATGCAGGGACTCATTTTATTTTGTATTATCCAGAAAGCACTATTTTGTGTTTCTATCCTCTTATTTTTATATAAATCACCAACTATTTGAATACCGGCATACTGCCATAGGAAAGGAGATATACCCTACTAGCACTGGAGACCCCCTTTTGAGGACATCCAAGGACCATCTACATACCCATAGGCGGGGATTGTACCGTCCAGGCGCACATATCTGGAGCGGAGTATAGGCTCCAGAAAATTGTAAGTGCAATTCCTTTCTCTTCATTTACTATAACTTAAGATCTCAACATACTACACTATATCCGTGACTTTTTCCTTCCCTCTTCCATATCGCTCTGAGCGTGGGAACTCCATCACAGGCGCTGCTCCTTGATCCTACTATTTACATTCATTTTTTGTATTGCAGTCTGTTGCAATAGTGAATGGTAATTAAGTTACTGTCATGTAACTGGGTATTGCAATAAAGTGTCTTGTTTTTTTTCTTGTTCTCTCTCGTATCTTATGGTTTGTTGCAGGAGGAATAATAATAATGCTGCAAACCTGTGAGTTACAAGTTTCCTGTGTGCACAAGGCAGACAGAGCAGCATTTACACCGAATGGCACTCCCCATTAGGCATACACTAGGAATCGTTACTCAAGATGGGAGGCATGAAGTGGAGAGACCTCCCAGGCAAATTTAGTGAAGCCAAAAGGCAGTGATAATATGGGGATTATGCCCATGGGGGATGTTGAATAGGACACAGACCAAAATAAAATTGCTAAGCACCCATTTCCCTACCGTAACTCTTATGGTGTAAAATATAAAGGCTGGCATGGAGCCGCAGGATTATTAATATTATTATTTATAAAAGCACCAACAAATTCCGCAGCGCTGTACATGGATTCTATGTAAAGTGCAAAAGCAGTGGAGACAAGGCCAGATCGGTGTGGCAGTAAAGCAAGAGGTATTCCACTGCATTTCGTATACCTCTATGACCTGCTTTGACTTATTTAAATGAAAGATTAAATTTACAATAATTGGAAAGTATTTTGTTTATGCATAATTTCTAACATATGTACTATATATTTATAGTTTGAGCAGACATTACTAGGGGTTTATTGTTGGTGTATTTTATCATTCACTAAAAAAAACTTTTTATTTTTTACGTTTATTGAATTTAGTGCAACTTAATGATATGGTTTTAAATTATAAAAAAAATTTAATCTGTTTGATCAGCCATGTTGGGTCAGAGTCTGTTATCTGACCAACTGCTGCTCAACCTTACTGTCTGCAGTTGCAGCTTCACATAGAACAATCACAGCAGGCTAGTTAGGATACTGCAGCAGATGGTCAGATAACAGTAAACTCCCACCCAACATGGCTGCTCAGCTAGATAAAAACCATACGTTTTCTAAACAAACACCAAACAATATAAATTATTTTAAAATATCAAAGCGACAATGTCACCCACCCCTGAAAAATGAGTAGTATATAATCTTTATGAAATACTTATTTTGACTGTGTGGAATTTCACTGAAATTTTAATCCAGTCAATAGGTATGCTGAGACAAAGTAGGGACTACTTTGCCTCTATTTTTCCTCCGCCTGACTTTCTTCGACTTTTGGTTGAGTCCAATACCCAGGGCCAGATTAAGAGCCCATTGGGACTGGTGCTCACAATTATGATGGGCCTAATTACAGAATCTTATCGATCAAAACAGTAAAACAGTCATACCTCCCAAGCGTCATGTATCTGATAAAGATGGTGCTGGAGGGATACTCATAGGATGCAGCTATATTAAAAAAAAAAAATATATATATATATATATATATATATATATATATATATTTTACACACATACACATACCCTATGCTAATCTCTCGCTTTCATCTTTCAAGTAAATCCATACCCCCCAACAGCAGTGTCCAGTGAAGCAGAATGTCAATGGGCGGGGTAAAGGGGTGTGCCACTGACGCAAGTCACGGAACCAAAACTGCCGAAAGGGCTTAACATGCCCAAAAAGGGAAGGTCAGCCTAGCGTTAATGCATGTCAGGCTGCCTGCCAATCATGCAGGCTGGCCAAATAAGGGCATACTATGCAAATAGCACCCTGAGCTTAACATAAATACGTCTAATGATGCGTTAGCTCCACGCTTCCTAAGCACTCGCTGGTCCACCCAGAGGCAGCTCTCTAATTAGGCGATTTAGGCAGCTGCCTAAAGGCCTCGCGGCCGCCTAAACCACCTTAGGGCAGACCGAGGACCCGACACCAGGAGGGTGCCCGGCGGCTTGCTCAGTATGCCGCCAGGTACAAGACCCCTCCTGTCTGCCCGGCCATCCATCACAGACACCGGTTTGCAGCTCTGCAATGTGCAGAGCTGCAGACCATGTGTTTCGCGAGAACTGGCCAATCAGAGCGTTGCTGCGAGTTACCACGGCATCGCTCTGACGGGTCACGCGAGAGCTGCAGACCGGATATAATGGCCACTGGACCACCAGGGAATAAAGGTATTTAATCCCCCCTCACATCACACCCTCTCCCTTTCACATCACCCCCTGCCTCACCCTGCTCTCCCTCTCACCTCCTTCACACCATCACCCTCCTCCCTCACACCATCTCTCCCTCACACAGTATCACCACGCTTACACACACTGTTTGCATCCCCTTACACTCACCTCCCCACACAATGCCACCACTCCCCACAATATCAGCCTCGTCATGCATCCACACTCACATTAACCATTCCTAATCCTGTTACTCACCCCCTCCAAACTCACCTGCCCTCACTCTGCCACACTCACCCTGTCACATTAACCCCCCTTAATCCTGTTACACTAGTCCCTCCTACCATGCCACAATTGCCCTGACACACTTACCTCCCCTCGACCGGTCACACTCCCTCATCAAACGATGTCATACTCCCTGTTCCTCATTCTCTCTCACAACCCACCCCCACCCTGTCCATTTACCCCCTTCGCCGTGTCACACTCTCCCTGCCACTGGTACCCCTTTACTCACCTTGTTAAATGTTATAGGACTATCTGCCTTCACTTTATCACAATAGTTAATGCAGTGTGTGTATAGTGAATGTAGTGTGTGGTGTGTAAAGTGAATGCAGTGTGCATATAGTGAATGCAGTGTGCGTATAGTGAATGCAGAGTGTGTATAGTGAATGCAGTGTGTAGTGTGTGTTTGTGAAGGGATGTAATTTGTGTAAAATATATTTTTTTGGTCCACCTGCTTGTTGCCTGGCCAGGGAGGGGGGGCTTTAGCAATACCTGGTGGTCCAGTGGTATGGGCTGTGCAGTAGGGGGACTGGCAGCAAGCTGTTACTTACCTTTCCTGCAGCTCCTCCAGCTCCCCTGTGTAACTCTCGCGGCCTGTGTGCCGCGCGGAGTGTTGCCATGGTAACCCGTGGCAACGCTCTGACTGCTGCGGGACTCGCGAGATTTACACTGGGAGCTGCTGGGGAGGTAAGCAACAGCTTGCTGCCGCCCCCCCCCAGGACCGCCGGGCTTGTAATGGGCTCAGCGCCCTGTGAGGTATTATTGGCAATATCAGTATTTATATTGGCAGATACCGATATTGCCGAAAGTACCAAATATCGGCCGATAATAATCGGTAAAACTGATAATCGGTCGATCCCTACTTTTAACATCTAGAAGATGCCACTTTCTTTCCAACTCGGACGATTGAGACAGGCAAAAGGAAGGCAAAACAATGGGCTGGCCCATAGATTTCCTTTAAATAACTTTAGGTAAAAAGGAAGGCCTGGGATGCAAGATCACTTTATCTTGGTGGAAAATGGTAAACTCAAATGGTGAAGAAAGAGCCTGCAGTTCTTTGCGGAAGTTATAGCCATTGAGAAGACCATCTTGAGTGAAAGCATCTTTAAGGAAACATCCTGTAATGGTTCAAATGGAGGTTTACAAAGAGCCTGAAGAACCAATGACAAAAGGAAAAGCTGAAAGCTTAGAAAGTCATTTCAACAAGATTGACTTAAAATATCAGCGGATAAGAAGGTTGGAAGCTAGATAACGCACAAGGAAGTGACCCAATGCTGAAATCTGGATTTTAAGTGTTGATACACCTAGACCAGCTCGAAACCCACCCTGCAGGAAAGACAATATCAGAAACGCAACCTTTCAGAACACACCAGTTCAGGAACTTTATCCAAATCCCAAGATAAATCTTGGAACGTCGATGAACAGACAGCACTACGAAATAACGGACAGATGCCAAAATAACCTCATTCAATTTGTCTGAAAGCCCCTGCTCACTGAGGATCATCCTTGCAGCAACCATGCCATCAGTATGAACATTTCCAGGGTCTCTTCTGGAAGAACCACCTTCTCTATGAAGTTGCTTGAAATTGGAAGAACCCAGCTTGAAATAGTCATACGCTATATTTCGGAAAACCAGCTTCAGTTTGGCCAGAAGGGCACAATGGCTAGAACCCTTGCTTTTTTCCCCATCTGATCTTTTGAATTATCCTTGGTAACAAGGCTACTGGAGGGAAACCATATCCCGTGTTGAAGTTCCAGGTGAGGGACAAGCAGTCTAGGAAGTCTGCAAAATCCAGTGCCTGGATAGAAGCAAAGCATGGGACTTTCATGTTTTTTCTTGTAGCCAAAAGATCAATGTCTGGTATGCCAAATCGGAATACCAGTCTCAAGAACATTTGGGGTTTTAGAGACCAATCCAGTTAAGACCAACGTTGTCTGCCAAGGTCGTCTGCGATGACGTTCTGAGTACCTCTGATATGAGTTGCTGATAGTGATGTTACTTTTGACAAAGACATGATATAGTAGACAGATCCTGTAAAGAATTTACTTTTGTGCCTTTTTGAAGGTTCAAGTAAGCAACCGTGGTGACGTTGTCGGACTGAATCCTTACGGCTTGGTCTGCAATGACAGGACTGAAAGCTACCAGAGCCGTCATAACTGCCTTCAGCTCTCTGAAGTTTTTTTTTTTTTTTTTTAATTCTTTATTTGAGTGCAGAGGTAAATATACGTTTCAGCAATATAACATGGCTTTAGAAAAAGATTGACAAAGTTCCGTATAGCATATTCATGGTGTGCTGCACTTTTTTTCTTTTTTTTTAACAGGATTAATATCAAGATATAAAACAGGCTTGTCAACGTTTTCTGTTGTATGTATTATAACAGGAGATAGTTTTCTTCCAAGCACATCTGAGAGGAGCGGTGGGTGTTAGGTGTCTCGAGAAGATAGGCTCTTAGGTGTGCCCTTATGATGTGTGAGAGGGTCGTATGAGGTTCTGTGTGGAGGTTTGCGGTGGCATCCCATGTGTATGCCTGTGGTATTCTGAGGGAGTTCCCCGGTGTGTGGGGTGTCATTTGCCTGGTGGCTGCGATATTAGGGTACGTGGCCAGGAGCTCTGCCAAGGCTTCTGAGGGGAGATGTGTGACCTCCTCTTTATGTGTTGCCCCTAACCCAAGGTGTGGGGGGGGGGTGGGAGGTGTTGCAGTGTCAGTGTGCCTCAAGGAGTTTGTCTCTGCAGGTTCTAGCGCTCTGGTAGAGCAGTGGTCTGGAATGTGTGTAAGAGAGATAAAGAGAAATCAGAAAACCAAATATACAAATGCAACTTAAATCAAAACAGGTATAGCGACTTGTGTCGAATTTGTCCCAGAAGTTTCTATTCCGGTGCCGTGGCCATATGCATTGGCCCAGTCCCCATTAGTTGTCAGCCGTCCGTTGCCTGTGATCCTCCGGCTCTCGGGACAAAGGGGGTGATGTGGTCAGGGTCCCACGTGCCCCTGGGGGTGGTCGACAGTGGGTCCTGATGGCTATCCATTAGTCCCAGGGCTTGGATGAAGGCCGGTGCCCCCTCTATTGATGTGAGTGTGTGATTATTTCCATTGTGAGTTACCACAAGCGTTCCTGGGGCTCCCCAGCGGTAGGGTATGGCTGCAGATCGTAGCTGAGAGGTGACTGTGCCCAATGACTTCCTCCAGATTAGGGTATTTTTGGTGAGGTCTTGATAAAATGTTAACGAGGAGCCTTCGAAGTTTAGAGGTGTTTTATTCTTCAGTGCCATCATGATCTGGTTCCTGTCTTGTGAGGTTAAGCAGCGGAGAATAACGTCTCGTGCTGTTCCCGTTGGTGTTTTAGGTGCGCCCGAAATGCGATACACTCCGTCCATAACCATCTTTTTGGCCGTTGTGTGGGGCAGTATGGATGTGATTAATCTACGTATGTAATGAGGAAGTTCCTCTGCGGTCACCGCTGTAGGGATGCCACGGATTTTTATGTGGTTCCTGCGCTGTTTATCCTCCAGGGCTGTGATTTGGTGTGTCAGTGTGACTTGAGTGGTTTGCAATTTTTGTACTGTCTCTTTAAGGGCCCCAATGTCAGTTCTGGCAGCTAGTATGTCCTTTTCAGAGGTTTGTACTCTGTCAGTTATGGCCTGTATATCAGTTCTCAGTGCCCTGAGGTCAGCAGTCCACACTTGTTGAATGTCATTAAGTAGGAGTTTTAAATCCTGCTTTGTTGTGGGTGCAGACCCGTCCGGGTCGTCAGTTGTGTGTAGTAGACTTGCCTGGATGGTTGGTGCAGCCTCTTGTCTGTCCTGCGCCCGGTTCTCCTCATTCCGGTCTCCAGCAGGGGTCAGCTTAAGCTGCACGGGCTGTCTCAGCATGTCCCCAATGTCTCTGCCGTCAGCCACTGTGTTTGGCTTTTGGGATCGTCTCCCCATTGCAGTCCAGTGTTCCGGTTGCGGCAGAGAGGTTGTGGACTCCGTTCCCTGCGGGTGCAGTATGGTGCTGCCGTGGAGGAGTGCTTCCAGTCCCAGGCTCAGAGGTGTGCTGTAGGCCGCGGATTTTCGCCGCGGTTTGGAGTGCTTTGTCGTGTGAAAAAAAGGCATCTATCGATGCGTTATGGCTCTGGGGACCCAGTTGTGGCGGTAAGACGGTCGGATGGGCTATAGTTGCTTGGATATTTGGTCGGATTTAATCAGTTGTTCGGGAGCTCTCAGATATGGCGTCCGCTTGTCAGGCTTGCAGGCTCCGCCCCAGCTCTCTGAAGTTTGAGGACTCTTTTGTGTCTATCGAAGTCCATTTCCCCTGATTGAACTGTGAATCTAGATGGGCGCCCCAACCAGTTTGGGAGGCATCTGTTGTGATGGTAATCCATCTTTTCTGTTCGAATGAAAGGCCTCTGGAAAGGTTGTTTGCATTTTTCCACCAATTTAGTTGTTTTCTTACTGTGCTTGACAGACAGATAACTGCATTAAAATCTTCCTTCTTTCTTGACCATTCTGCCGTAATATTCTATTGTAAAAGGACTGATTTCTGCTTTTGCCCATACAACCGCTGGGATTGCAGAGGTGATAAGTCCCAGGACACTCATGGCCTGTCTGATGGTGCAAACTTTTTTCTATTGTAAGCTTGAAACTGACTTTATTATTCTTTTTTGCTCTGACATAGGAAGAAAAAGCGACAGGGACCTTGAATCCTCCAGAAGTCCCAGGAATTCCATTCTTGTTGAGGGAATCATCTGAGATTTGTGTAGGTTTAAAAGCCAACCGTGATCTCTTAAAAACCTCCTGGTGATATTGAGATACAACTGCAGAAGATGTTCTGATTCTGCTTTCAAGAACCAGTCGTCCAGGTAAAGAACTATTTTCACACCTCTTAGACGTAAGTTTGCTGCTAGAGGAGCCAGGATCTTTGTAAAGATACAAGGGGCTGATGATAGGCCGAACGGTAGGGCCTTGAAATGGAAGTGCAGAATCTTTCCTTTTCCTGCTAAAATTGCAAACCTTTGGAACTTCTGAGAAAATATTGATATTGGAACATGGAGGTAGGCATCCTTCAAGTACAACTTTGCCATGATTTCCCCTTTCTGCAGAATGTGTGTGACTGACAAAATACTTTCCATAACCTCTGATAAGGAATGCATGCGTTGACATCTTTGAGGTCTAGGATAGGACGGAAGGATTTGTCTGGCTTCTGAACTAAAAACAGGTGAGAATAAACCCCCTGGAACTCTTGGCATTTGGGAACTTTTTCTATTATGCCCTTGCGTAGAAGAAGTAGGACTTCTGCTTTCTTTTGTGCTGGATACTTTGAGAGGAGAAAACATGAGTTTGGCACTGTTGAAAGTCGTATCCTGTATCCCTCTGATATGGTTTTTAGTATCCAATTGTTTTAGGTCATCTCCTTCCACTTCTGAGAAAAGAACCGAAGACGACCTCCCACTCTATTGTTATTGAGATCCCTGAATCTGGTGTCTCTATTTTGCTTGCGAAATCTCCAACATTTTTCATGGTAGCGAAAGAAACGCTGTTCAGTGAACTGAGATCTTTTATTGACTTGAAGCAGAGTCCGCAGTCCACGTTCTGAGCCATCAGGCTCTTCTGGCCACCTAGAAAAAACCCATTATCCGAGACGATAATCGAAGCAGCTCATCAGAGACACCCGATAGAAATTCATTAGAAAGTTTCAGAAGAAACAACAGCTGAGCTGGGTCTCTCTCTCTGATGTTCCCATAAGGGATTCTTCTAAGGTTTGTAACCACATTCACTGGGATATTTTAACTGCTGAACCAGTGATTTGGATGAAATATTCTCCTGCTTGACGTTTCAGCCGGCTTGTACATGGGATCTTTTAAAACAAAGTCAAATATAAGGCTTAATTTTCAGTTTTTTCACATTGAAATGTGCAAGATTGGTTATGTTGCCTTTGAGGGCGTATGGTAGCCCAGAATTACCCCCATGATGGCATACCATTTGCAAAAGAAGACAACCCAAGGTATTGCAAATGGGGTATGTTCAGTCTTTTTTAGTAGCCACTTATTCACAAACACTGGCCAAAATTAGCGTTCATAATTGTTTCTTGCATTTTTAACACACAAATATAAATGCTAACTTTGGCAAGTGTTTGTGACCAAGTGGCTACTAAAAAAGACTGGACATACCCCATATTGAATACCCTGGGTTGTCTACTTGAAAAAAATATGTACATGTGAGGCGTGTTTCAGAGATTTATGACAGATAACAGTGTTACAATGTCACTATTGATACATTTTAAAAATATATATTTTGAAACAGCAATGTCCTATTTGTACTTATAGCTCTATAACTTTCCAAAAAAGCTAAGAGCATGTTAACATTGGGTATTTCTAAACTCAAGACAAATTTTTTAACTATTTAGCACGGGTATTTTTTGGCGGTTATAGATGCATAACAAATTTTGGGGGTCAAAGTTAGAAAAGGTGTGTTTTTAAAAAAAAAAAATTATTTTATAATTTTCTAAATATTTTTATAGTAAATTATATATGATGAAAATAATGGTATCTTTAGAACAACCATTTAATGGCGAGAAAAATGGTATAGAATGTGTGGGTACAGTAAATTAGTAAGAACAAAATTACAGCTAAACACAAACACAGCAGAAATGTAAAAACAGCCCTGGTCCCAAACGGTAAGAAAATTGAAAAGTGGTTTACTAAGGGGGTTAAAGTCATTGGGCCTATTCCACAGCCATGGGCCTGGAGCTGCAGCTCCATCAGCCCCTATGTTAATCCGGCCCTGCTAATACCGACGGCCGTCACCAGTGATGGCTGCAGGGAATTTGATGTGTCTACGGAGGATCACATTGTCTCATAGGATCCTCCATAGATCTCAATGCTGTAAGAGTACACCAGTGACATCGGCTCCTGGCGTTGAAGAGGAGCCGAGCAAGAAAGACAGTGATGGCACCTGCAAAGGACAAATCTCACCTTTACCTGCCCCCCACAGGACCCCCAGCAGCAATGTCACCGTCGGGGGTCTTAGCAAATTCTGCAAAGTCCCCAGATGGGGACAGTGCCCCTTTAAGTTTCACTAAATGTGATAACCTTTTAAAAAAATTATAAGTAAACTAATACATTTGAAATTCCCTTGAATTCCTGACCATTACTAGTTTACTGATTGCCACTGAAATTGCACAGCAAGCAGGAATATTTCTCTGGTATTTACCATAGACGGGGAAATGGTTCATCTTAAGAGATAGTTTAGGCATCCTAAGGCACCATAACGACGTCGTCTAAATGAAGTTACTATGGTGCCAGGAAGCCCCCAGGTGCATTCTTGCCTACAGAGGTTGAACCGTTTTCGAACGGTTTAAACCCAAAGTTCCCTCCAGCTATTCCCCTGGCGGCATCTTTTCCAAGCCAGTTTTGCGAATGGGGAGTAACTGATTGGCTGAGAGCGCCAGCTGGTCAGCCAATCAGCGGCACCCCTGTCCTGCGGCACGCCGTGCTTCCTGAATCTGATATTTCTGTAGCCGGATGCCACCAGGGAGGGAGCTGAGGTCAGTGCTGGAGGCAACTTCACGGTTAAATAGGTCAAAAGCGGTTTAACCACTGAGGGTAAGAGTGCCCCCACTGTCCTCCTGACACCAGAATAACCTCATTTAGATGAAGTTGTATTGGTACCTGGAGTGTTCCTTTAAACAATTTAAAAACATTTTTTTTTTAAATACTAAACTACCTGTTACCTGGGAGTCATCTCTCTTAATTAGAGACAGATTGTGGTTATAATGGGCAATAAATGTCCAGACATTACCATGGGAACTGGCAGGCCCAGACATTGCCATGGAAACAGCAAGTCCTCAGCCCATATGGAGCAAGGCTGGGTCTGGGCCACGCGCTCTGTGCATGACGTCACGCCAGCCATGCATTCCTCTCCCCCACCTCAGACAAAAGGCATTGCAAAAAAAAAAAGGGTGGGGCGGAGCCCTACTTTCCCCGCCAATCCACGGCGAGTCGTGGAACGCAGACGTACTGCACGTATGCGTGCCACCGTGCTCGCGTTTGGCCTGGAGAACGAAATGGGTGGGCGTGGCGTGGCGTCGCCGTACGTGATGATATCACACAAACTCATCCCTATTGCTCTTGTGTTCGCCCCCTTCCAGCACCGAACCGAACCGGGACTGTGTCTTACGTCACAACTACGTCATGGGGGTGAGAAATGAGGTGGATTGGGCTCAAAAAGGACATGTGGGGGTACCTGTAATGTGTGGAGTTAATTTATTTCAATTTTAGGCACTAGTAAAGGCCCCCTGGAGTTCTATCGGTATGCATGGAAAATGTGCAGGCTATTGGGCCAGGTATCCCATATTAAGGATGTCTGGCCCTGGTAAGCACTCATAGAGGGCATTGGGGTAGGTTAGTGAGTGTAGCTTATTGGGTGCAACTGGAGAATAAGGAGAGGTAAGTTTTTTTTGGGGGGGGGCATTTTAGTGACCTCAAAATATAGCCCTTATACATCATCTATTTTTGTTTTGAAGCATCCAGCTGTGAAATTGTTGGGAAAGAAATAGCAGTTATAACCTAGAAGCTTACTTTATGCATTCCAGAATGCTGTGTTTCTAGTAGAGTTTACAAGGAAACCTCACCATTCTCCACATTCTTTGTTGCTCAGAGGAAATCTGTACGGGCAAAGGAGAAGAAGCAGAAGCGTCAAGAGGAACGGGCAGCTATGGCTGCAGTCTGTGCCAAGGTGCAGGCAGCCAATCAGGCAAGTCCCGTTATGCATTAATGTAATTTAAATATTTGTGGGTGCTTGCTGGCCAGTTAGCTTGTCCAGTAGTTTTGGTTTACAAACTTCTCATCTTCCGTTTTCATTCTCTCTGTAGCTAGGTGACCCACTTGGGGCATTTCCGGTCTTCAAAAAGTACGACAGGAATGGGTGAGTGGGGGAAAGGGAAGACATTAGATGATGACAGGTTAAAAAGAAGAGAAAAATTAATTTATGAGATGTTATCGGGGTCCCAGATTCTGTCATATTTCTTTTATCCCACCCTCAGGTTAAATCTAACGATACAGTGCTGTAAGGTAGCAGACTTGGATGAGAAGACTCTGGATTGGGCATTTGAACTCACCAAGAAAAACATGCAACTGTTGTAAGTGCCCCTGTGGTGCCCTCTTTACCTAATATGCCAGCCGTGAGGGCCGGGCACCTTATCCCTTATGTGGCCTGCACCAATGGTGTCAAGCTCACTCTCCCTTTGGCACACAGGCATCCTGGGAGAACCCAGTCTCTGATGCCCATGGATGTTTCTGTAGGTATGAGCAAAGCGAGTGGGGATGGAAGGAGAGGGAGAAGCGAGAGGAGATGACAGATGAACGAGCCTGGTACCTTATTGCCCGAGATGAGCTTGCTGCCCCTGTCGCCTTTGTGCACTTCAGATTCGATGTGGAGTGTGGTGATGAAGTTCTTTACTGGTGAGTTGGTGATGATTATTACTAGTTGCACTGTATAATTGTCAAAATATAATACATGTGTTTTGGTATCTGTCTTTCAAACCCTCTGTATGTATGTGGTACTACCTTTGTATCTTGTGCTATTCTGTATACCTTAATTTCTACAGATTTTGTCTATAGTAGAAGTAGGCCACTGGACCAGCAATTGTAGACTTGGGTCACTTCTTTTAATAGGATTATTCACTAAACTGAGAATTGACCCCCAGCAGCGATGTTAGGGGTCTGTATTCCTTAACGTTCCCAGATGGTTACAGTGCCACTTTAAGTTTCACAAAATGTAATAACCTTTTCAAAAAATGAGAAGTAAAATACTAAATTTGAAATTCTCATTTAATTCCTGACCATTCCTAGTTTACTGATTCCACTGAAATTCCACAGCAAGCAGGAGTATTTCTCTGGTATTTAGGTGCATGCTTACCTTCAGCGCCGCTCTCAGCTCCTTCACATCGGGATCTTTTCCAAGCTAATTTTGTGAACGGGGAGTCACTGATTGGCTGAGACGCACCCCTGCACTTTGCAATTGTAGACTTCGTTCACTTCTTCTATTAGGGCTATCCACTAAAACGATGATTCAGATTGATTTTCACATTTAAGGCCAAAGTAGCTGAACTGAAAGCAGAGCTGAATTAGAGAATTTTTCTTCTCTGCCTGCAAGGGGAAGATTCTAATGTCTGTTGTCAGTGTGCAGTGCAGGCTGACAATAGACTTAATTTATGCAGACACACACTCAGTGATAGTCGCACACATTCACTGACAAACACACACACATATTTACAATTATTATTTTTAGATTTAAATCCACCCAGGCTCCCTACTTCTGGGATAGCTGGGTTGATTTTTTTTTTTTTTTTGTATTTTTTTTTTTGTTGTTTTTGTTACCTGGGGTTCAGTGGGTACCTGGTAAGTGAAGCCGGGAGCCTCACTTCCAGCTCCTGGCAGCACTGTAGATCGCATGAGGGAGCTGAGAAGGAAGAGCTCAGGGGAAAGTGCTGCCTCACCACCCGCCTGGAACACACATAGCTGCCTGCCCCGTGGGGGGCCCAAAGGTGGCCTGTCGGCCAGCTCTTGGGCCCACATAAAACAAGTCTAACAATGCATTAGCCTGGAAAGTGTCGGCCAAGGTAAATGCCTTGTTAGCCTTGCGGTACATACAACTCTGAATTTATGCGCAATGTCACATGTGCTAGGGTTGCAACTAGACTCGGCACACAATTAGGATTAACTCAGTATGTGCAGTGTTTCAAGCTGAAACATTGTACATACTGAACCCTACACTGAAGTGGTCATGGGGCTTGGAGTAACCCTTTAACTGAGCCAGTCTCTATGCTCTGCTGTGTAAAATGTAATATCTTTAATTTGAAAATTATATAAATTTTCTTTGCATCTTCCTATTGGCTAAATTTATAAAATGTAATACAGATAACTATAAGCTGTTGTAAAACATACTTTTAGCTATCAATAGAATGGTTTACTTGTATCAAAGACTTACAAGATTAACGAAGAGGAAGTTAACCAAGGAATGTTAGCCAAACTGAATAATAATTTTCCGTCAGTTCAGCTGTTTTTACTTTCAGTTTAAAACTTCCTGGTAAATACATGGGGATTACCACAGTAGTGCATAATCCTGAATATGCTTCCCTAAAATGTACGTGTTATGAAATGATGCCTCATTATCTTGGCTTTATACTTACAATTAAAGAAAGGAATGAGTAAAGAATAAAGCCTTGCTGTGCTATTGATGACAGTTCAGTCTCTCTTTTTGGTGGAATTCGTGAGCTGTGAGCATTGGTCAATGTATGTTAGTACGGAAAGGGTACTTGCACTCTAGTGATTTTTGTGAAGAGTCGCTGCTCCACTGGCATCATGGATTTAACTCTTAACACTAAGGAACACTTGAAACAATAACCACTACAGTGGGATTTAGTGGTTATGTTACTTAAAGTTCCCTTTTAAGTGCAAATGTTGTGTACACATTGAGAAAAGCAAAGTGTCTTGTTGAGTTAACTAATTAAACCTGCCCTGAATCAAATGTTTCAAATTTGACCATTTGGCACTTTCCTTCGTTTTGTGTACTATCCATACTAATCAAGCTCATGTCTTTTCTCTATCTATGTTTTCCATTCCATATCAATTACATATGTGATTACAATGGCATATCAATTTGAATCTAAACCTTTCTCTGTCTTGTTCATTTTCCCCTTACAGTTACGAAGTCCAATTAGAGGTCCGTGTCCGCAGGAAAGGAGTGGGAAAATTCCTGGTGCAGATTCTACAGCTGATGGCTAATAGGTGAGCAGACGGAGTATAGCTGACTTGGTCCTTCAAAGTGGAGTGAGAGACTTAAAATACATATATTTTAATTATTTCATACCAATACCAGCATATTAGTAGATTATACAGAGCAATCCAATAGATTAGGCAAGTGTATACGTTTTAAAATATTTTGGGGTTACTTCTCCATAAAGGCTTTACTGCCTAGTGCTATGCTTATTTTTTTTATTTTTTTTTTTGCAAAGTTACATCATTTAATCCAGACCAGGCTCACCCTCTGCATGAGGACAACCAGTCTGTGAAATCCCCATAGGAAAGCCAGGGGGCACTATAGTGTTAGAATACAGATTTGTATTCTTAACTCTATAGAATCCCTTTAATCTCCTCATTATATCAACAAATGATTAAAAGTATCAAAAAAAAATATGTATATGTTTTTTTGCTTGGAATGACGGTATTAATGTTCAATTTTCACATTTCAAGCAAAGTCAAATTTAAGACTTTTTTATTTATAAAGGAAAACTTCAAGCATCATAATTATTACAGCCTGATGTAGTGGTTATAATAACATGAATGCCTGGTGCCCACCCATTGTAGGTAGTTAAACTGTTTGTTTGACTTCTTACTTGAGGTCTTAGAATTGCTACTCCCCCTCTCCTCTCTGCAGCCAGGAGAGCGAGAAGTTCCTTCTTAGGAGCTTCTATTAGCTCTTATTGGGTAATTCCTGCAGGGCTAGCTCATTGACTGTGTCATCTAAAGCAAGGAGCGGCGTCTGCTATACTGCAGGTAAGAAGTCATACAGTTTGACCACTTACTTTGGGAGAAGTCAGGGTCCTCCTGACAGGGTGATGTAGTGGTTATGGTGCTTGGCATGTTCTTTTTTTAAAGGGAAGATCAGGGAAGTGGTAGTTCCCCGTTTTAAAGCGGTACTGACATTGTTTAGGGACTTTGCAAAGACCCACGATGGTGACATTGCTGCTGGGGATCTGCTGGCCAGGAGAAGACAGGCAAAGGTGAGTTCTACTTACCTGAACCTGTCTCTTGGGAGGTGCCGCCATCCTCTTCCAGCGGGCCCTCTTCTGGTCTTGGTGCTACAGAGTATAGCATTGAGGTTTATGGAGCATCCAGTGGGATCCTCCATAGGTAGAACCAATTCTGTGCAAATGTCACTGGTGATTGACACTTATTGACGGCAGTACCTCTGTCTAGTATTGAGACATTTATGATTTTGGCTAGAAATAGAAGTGGGGGGGGGGAAAGGGGAAGTGAAGAGGAAGCAATTGGAAAAAGATAAGTATAGCTTGATAGTGTCACTTTAAGCCTAAAGCCTGTATGAGCCAAGTATAGTCTCATTATGTTTATCTGACCTAAGAAGGCAGCTCTGTCTTCCCTCTGTCACAGACCAGGCCTGGCTCAGTGGCACAAATAAAGTAAGGAGTTGGGTTTCAGCAGAGTAAAAGTACAATGTGTATGGTTGAAAAATACTGGAAAATTATTTAAAAATGTTGGCAGAAATTAATTGAAAATGGCTTCAATGATTGGCTTAAAATACCCCATAAATGTTCCCTTGCAGCTTTTTAGAACAGACATGGTAGATCTTTATCTTCCATGACTGGCAGGGGGCAGTCTCTACACCAGGTCCCATGTCTGGATTTTCCTGGAGACTGGGATTTGTCATGCCCTGTTTTATAGGAAGATATTCATATCCTTGCCTTTTAATTGTTTTTATTATCTGTTGCTCAATGAGTTTACACAGAATTTTTCTATCCTGCCCTTTTTTCTTTTTATAGCACACAGATGAAAAAAGTAGTCCTCACAGTGTTTAAGCACAATCATGGTGCTTACCAATTCTTCAGAGATGCTTTACAGTAAGTTTGTGGGGGGTGGGGTTCCCTTCATTGTGCCTTTTTTATTTTTTTGGCGTTGCCTATATCTTCATACCTCATGTTTACTGTAACTATCTCCTATCACTTAGGTTTGAAATAGATGAAACCTCTCCCAGCATTTCAGGTTGCTGCAGCGATGATTGCACATATGAAATTTTAAGTCGCAGGACAAAGTTTGGAGACACAACACACTCGCACTCAGGACAGTGTGCAGGGTGCTGTCACTGAACTTATTTGCGGGATGGACCTGTGGAAAGATTTTGAGGGACACAGCAATTGTCTTTTTTATTTTGTTGTTGTTGTGTTGGGGTCCTTTTTTTTGTTTTTGTTTTTTATTCTTTTTTGTTTTTTTTTATAGTTTTTATTTGAATACTGTGCTGTTGTGCACATGTGGAATTCTTACTATAAATTCAATTCTTTTAATGTTAAATAAATTCTTCTTTAAATCCTAACTTGTCCACATATCATAAGTTTTTTCATATTTGAATCATATTATTTATAAAGTGCTAGTCTGAGGTACAATTCATGTTGCCTGGAGGCATGATGCCACCAATATTTGTCCAAAACTATTTTAGAAAACACATTCAATATGTACTGAATAATGGTGAAATAAGGCTTTGTTCTACACAGAATGTGCATATTCACTTCAAAGACACCAGCCATCCATTCTAGGAAATAATATTGTTATAGTTTGTATATATGTGGTTGCTTTGATGTGGCCCTCAATTTTTTTTTCAATTTTAATTATTTATTATTGATCCTCTTGTGATTTTTATTTTATTTTTTTTTTAACATTTTCAGCCAGATTGGGGAGGGGTCAATTATGGCCTGATGGACTTAAACTGAATAGCCCTTTGATATGTAATGTGGTTGCTTTTTCTGTATTGTGTAGTTTGATGTACTACTTGTATTGCATAGAATAATGCATTCCATGGAGACCGTATATAACTGCATGCAAAGACCAGGATTTTACAGTTTCTTAGAATAATTTATTTTTGATTTTGTGTCACAAATAAGGATAAACGTTTCAATGTGTACATCAAGTTTAGAAGCATTTCCTGTGAACAATTGAGGGGCCTGCCTCATCATACTCTTGTTTGCTGATCCACATCTGTTGGAAGGTGGAGAGAGAAGCCAAGATGGAGCCTCCAATCCAGACAGAGTATTTACGTTCAGGGGGAGCAATAATCTGTAGAAAATAACATTTTTATAAAGTTAGACATGTCTTTTTTATCCCAAAGGGGTGCAAATGTATGTCTTTCCCACAAAATTGGGCAGGGGTCCTTTTTCCATCATTCTACTTCTGTCAAGAATACAGATGTGGAATGAGAGTTCCACAGACATTTCTAGTTTGCACTTGTGTTCAAACTTTTTCAAACTCCTTTTTAGGTTCTACAATTAGGCAACTTTATGGAACAATGTATTAAAAGTGGATTGTTACCTTGATCTTCATGGTGCTGGGAGCAAGAGCTGTAATCTCCTTCTGCATACGGTCAGCAATACCAGGGTACATTGTGGTACCACCAGACAGCACATTGTTGGCATAGAGGTCCTTACGGATATCAATATCACACTTCATGATGGAGTTGTATGTGGTCTCATGAATACCAGCAGACTCCATACCTAGGAACGAAGAGTTTCTTTTTTTAATAACATAAAAATCCATGACTCCGGGTAGATTGTTTAGTTTAGAGGGGGGCACACATACCAATGAAAGATGGCTGGAAAAGAGTCTCAGGGCAACGGAACCTTTCATTTCCAATGGTAATGACCTGTCCATCAGGGAGCTCATAGCTCTTCTCCAGGGAGGAGGAGGAAGCAGCAGTTGCCATCTCATTCTCAAAGTCCAGAGCCACGTATGCCAACTTCTCCTTAATGTCCCTTACAATCTCACGCTCAGCTGTGAAGGGTAGTAAAAAGGGCAGCATTAAAATGTGCAAAATGGTAACCATGCTTATACATCAGTTTTCCAACATGTATGTAATTGCCTCTTGGCACAATTGATGCTCACCTGTGGTGACAAAAGAGTAGCCTCTCTCAGTCAAGATCTTCATGAGGTAGTCAGTGAGGTCTCTGCCGGCCAAGTCCAGACGCTGGATGGCATGGGGCAGGGCATAACCTTCATAAATGGGCACGTTGTGGGTCACACCATCTCCAGAGTCCAGCACAATACCTGTAAATGCAAAACTCATATAAGTGTGGATCTATAAATTGATCATTAACCTACATCAATACATTTATAAATTATTTAAACTTTTTTTTAATGTAAAAAAATATGGTCTTTGGCATGGTCATTGACTTTTATGTGGAAGTTGTGCATGCTAGTAGATTGGTATGAATAAGTTTGGAAATGACAGAAAATTAACTTTAGAAAAGTGTGCACACAATACTTACAAATTCACATCAGATAAGGAGTTCACTTTAGTTGTGTATTTACTGCAGGTGAATTGTGAAAATGCTACTAATATTTTTGAAGATCAGTGTTTTGATAGTGATCTTAGTGGTTTATGTACATGTTGCTCTTAATGATGGTGAGAAGTATGTGTACTGTGATAATGAATGGGATACTTTATATGAGATATAGGGACATTGTGCTCTATGACGATTTATGCATTCGGAATGAGCATTAGGTGTATACTTATGCCAAGTATCATTTCATAAATAAAATATTTCTTATGTATATTCTCACCAGTAGTACGACCAGAGGCATACAGGGACAAGACAGCCTGGATGGCCACATACATAGCTGGGACGTTAAAGGTTTCAAACATGATTTGGGTCATCTTTTCACGGTTGGCTTTTGGGTTCAGTGGAGCCTCAGTGAGCAGAGTAGGGTGTTCCTCTGGGGCAACACGCAGCTCATTGTAGAAGGTGTGGTGCCAGATCTTCTCCATGTCATCCCAGTTGGTGATGATACCATGTTCAATTGGGTACTTCAGGGTCAGAATACCTCTTTTGCTTTGTGCCTCATCACCTACATAGGAATCCTTCTGTCCCATACCGACCATGACACCCTAAGGTTCAACAGAAAACAAGAACAACTTTGTGAGGCAAGCCTGGAGCTTTTAAAAAACAAAACAGTATGGGAATATTAGACTCTAGAACAGGGTCAGGCAACATTTGACAATCCAAATGTAGAGGACTCAAAGTGCACTGATGCTTTGCGTGCCTGTAATGGCATTATGGGAGATTTAGTCCACAACATCTTGAGTGCCAAAGGTTGCCTACTCCTGCTCTAGAAGATAAAGCTATTCATTTTCTATGTTGTTTACAACGTTAACATAAAGAACAAAAAAGGGTCCGTATACAGATAGCCAAAATACAGGCAAATGTATATCAAGGAATAAAACGAACTAACGGCAGTTCTCAAGAACCACCGATGAGCCAGGATTTATGTATTATCCATTAATATTATAATGCAGATATTGATACATTTAGATTCGCTATTATCTTCAAAGAGTAGGTTAAGAATTATTATTCTGATGCATGTTGCTTTCAGTAATAATTTAGCAACATACACAAATACATTTTTAATAGTTTAGTGTCACATTAAAATGTGTTGGTGTTCCAAAACTGACAATTAATCCTTGCATGGGTAACTCTCTAAACTGTGAAATGTGGCTGAGTTGAAAATAGCTGTCATTGAGATTTTTTTTTATTGATTTTTTTTTTCCAAATCCTTAATTTTGAATTTCTGAATTTCACAGTTTAGCAAATTAACCTAACAAGCAAAATCTATTGCTGGTTACACTGTTTAGATGACTGAAATACAGGGGCTGCAAATGTGAAGTTAGATGTAAGACTACAGACAAGAGAAAAGCTGAAATTGGTGAAAAGAGAGGGGGGTGAATTAAAAGTGTCTGGTTAAAGAACAATAATGAAAGAGTCAACCAAACATTGGAGGGAGAAGGGAGAGTAAAATGGGCTAACAGACAGAAGCATGGAGATTGGATGCACGTGTCAGATATTGCTGGCACTGCATGGTGTAAACAAGATTGTGATTTTTATTTTTTTTAATTCTCCATCTGAGTGAGAAATGCTTTGCACTATGTTTAGTCTCCTACAGTTGGAAGGGTTAATTTTATCTCGGCAGACATTTTTAAATCCCTCTCCCTGTGATCAGTGGTGTATCTAGCAGTAACTGGCATTCTACCAAATCTATTTGCTGATACTGATTTTTTTCAGAGCTGTCCAGTCAGGACTTTTGAGAACTGACAACCTGATGCTTGGAGTAATGAATGTGGGAAATGACAAACGTGTGCTTGTAATATGTGCAGACTATTAAATGTCACACAGAGCTGAATTAAGAAATAATATAAATACTCTATCTGAGGGAGGGGAAGGGAGGGTAATGCTAACCAATTATATGAATCCTTCTCATAAGAAAGTATTGTGACTCAATGAACAGGAGCATATTGTAGTGGGGTGCAGCAAGAAGAAAATTGTGTGGCTCTCCACTACTTAATATTACCCAACCTCATGTTGAGATTTGGGGCAGAGGGGCTGGCTAGGAGCTACGTGTAGCCTAAAGAGAAAATGATTGTCAAGTACGTTGTGTGTGTTTGTTTTTAAGTGTATTTTCATGGATAATTACTAAAGTGAGAAGTGTCTGGAATTCAAAGAGAATTTTAATATTTTGGAGACAATAACCGCTTAAAAAACCCCAAAACTTCAATTCAATTTGGCAATGTGGCCTTAAATTTTAAATTCACTTTACATTTAAATTAGCATCAATTCACACTTTAATAATTAACCATGTAGGTGTATATTAAATGAATAATAAAACTCCTTAAATTCTCTTCATAATTTTTTTGTTTGTTGCCTATGTATTATGGGAAAATCTGGAGTTTTAAGCCATATCCTTCAAAGACAGTCATTTATGACTGCCACCTCTACTTGAGTTCTGTTCCATGCAACCACCACACTTTCTCTAGAACACTGATGTCATTTGTGTTGTATGCATCATTTTTGGGAAAGGTATAGTTCATTAGGGAGTAAAGGATTTTAAAGTAAGGACATTTAGGAGCTAAAAGAGCTTACCTGGTGACGAGGGCGGCCAACAATTGATGGGAAGACAGCTCGGGGAGCATCATCTCCTGCAAAGCCAGCTTTCACCAGCCCAGAGCCGTTGTCACAGACCAAAGCGGTAGTCTCTTCGTCGTCACACATGATGGAGTCTGGAGAAGGGCTGTAAGAGAAAATAAAGAATTAAGTTTCACATGAGACACATGCTGAATTCCTTTGCAGTGCCTCTTCTCCCCCAGCACATGTGCGGCTGTCCCACAGTTACCCCACCTGTTACTACTACTCAGCTGTTCCTTTCTGTCTCTTATGTAAATTGTCTCTCATATGGATTTGTCAGCTTTGCCAAGAAAGGGCTTAAGAAGTGCTTAGCAATTCTTGCAGAGGGGTTAAGTGCTAACTTGAATGGTTATTGCATGGAAGGTTTATCAAACCATAAACAAGAGTGGGGGGAAATGGGGTTAAGTTTTTGGATGGCAGAGGTAGTAAGGTACTGTAGAGCTATGTGTTGCCCTGTTAGCAGGCATACTATGGTTTAAATTGTATATTGTCCTATAAACTTGGCAGATATAATAAATCCTCCAGGTCTCTGCTTGCATGGATGCAGAAGTGTAGGGTTTAGTAAAGCTCTGCATGTCTGTAAAGGAAAAGGGATTTAGTAATGTCTTTAAGGGCTCTAAATCTAGTGAGATTAATTCATATTCTAAATTGCATTAGCAGTAAGGGCATTAAAAATTACTCCCTTGAAGATAATTCTTAAATTATTTTTTTTTTGTGAGGGGGGGTAGTAGGAAAAGGGTTAATAGGGTTGACAGGGGTGAGGGAGGGGAAGGATTTTTGTGATCTGCAGGACTCACCGTGCTGCAGCAGTGAGGGCGTAGGTAGAGCAATGAGCTGGGGTGTGTAGCACACAGCCATCCTTATATATAGGGTGGCCCCTGTAGTGATGTCCAGGGAAGCCCCATGCTCACTTAACTCCATATTTGGAGAGAAGCCAGGACTTCCTGGCCTTGTGAGGGTCCGAGCCGGGGGTCTGAGTAGTGACCATATATAGTGGGGTATCCCTCCCCCTCAGCCGCCTGTATACAGCTCACACATACAGATGGCTATTCCTGGATATAGAACAGAGTAGCTTTACTTAGAAAGTGCTGTGTGTGGACAGATAGATTTAAAGGCAGATAGTTATACAAGATTCAATCAGACTTATAGACAAAGTGCAATAAGTTTTAACTAAACATAATTAAATGCATAATTATTAAAATGTCTTGATATTAGAACTACATTCAGACTTATGGCTATAAATACATTAATTAGATCCATAGCCCAACAGACATAGAGAATTAATATACAGATGGCACATCAATATAAGTCTAATATATTAATTATAAAATGTATTCGTATTACTGTTCATATTGCATAAATGCATTTTTAAGATGTAGGGGAGTACATTGATATTATATTTAGAGATTGAGAACTATATTGGAATATGTTAACACTGAATATATGCACTAACAGATATTAAGGGAATATATTGATATATACTTTATAGACAAATAGATGAAAAGGCTGCTGTTTAGATTGTTTGGATGTGGAGAAGAAGAGGCAATCTCTCACTTCTAATGTCCCCTAGATGTCTGGGGGGTGGGGGTGACAAGGACATGGATCACACATGCCTAATTTTGCACTCAAGACATTATTTGGTGCAGAGCTAGCTGTGTTAACAACCAGTTTCCAAGAATGGTAAAAAGTGAAAAAATAGTTGCAAAGCACAACCAGAAAAAAACAACAAATTTCAAAAGCAAAAGGGTTATATTGGATTTGTTTGTCTTGCTACAACTGCAAAATTACAGAGAAAATACTGTCTGAATCTGTGATTCAAACACACTCTGCAAGCCTCTAATGTATGCATCAAGGACAAAAACAGCCTGAAAATGTATGGGAAGGCTTTGGTCACTTAAAGTGGCTCTGTCACCCCCAAATTGATCATTTCATAAAGTTAAAATCTGAAAATAAAATGCTCATAAAGGCTGTGTTGGAATTTCATTAGTTTAATATTATGAAAATGTAATTTAAATATCAACGCAGAGCACGGGCTATCAAAGCACTTTGTATAAAAGAGCTTCAATGACTAGATCTCCGCTTACGGGCAGGACCTCTCTGCCTTTTGAATTTGTCTGTGTGTATTGTACGTTCTCCCTAATTGTACAGCGCTGTGGGATATGTTGGCGCTTTCTAAATATCAATAATACTAAATAAATAATAACGCAGTCAAAAGATATCATAAGACAAAATAGGGGCTGCTTTCTCTTAAGCTAAATGCTCAGCTTGACAAAACTTCTCATTGCAAGATAATATCTGTGGAGACTCTCCCGGTCTCACATGTGTGAGAATACAGCACTGACATGGGCTCCTACAAGTTGAAGGACCAAGAAGGGAAAATCGCAAATGGTGGCACCCACAGGGCACAGTATCAGGTAAGTATACCTCACTTCTGCTGCACACCCAGGCCACTGTACACCAAGGCAATGTCACTATCGGGGTCTTTGCAAAATATGCCCTGACTCCCGAAGGTGACAGAGGCACTAGAGCAGCTTTCTCCACCCTCACTCTAGCCGGCCTAATCCATCCATGTGTGAAAATATACACCGATCAGTCACAACATTAAAACCACCTGCTTAATATCGTGTAGACCTCCCTCATGCTGCCAAATCAGCTCTGATGCGTCAAGGCATTGACTCCCCAAGACCTCTGACTGTGCCTTGTGGTATCTGGCACCAAGACATTGGCAGCAGATCCTTTAAGTCCTGCAAGTCGCGAGAATCGAACCTTTAATTCCAACACATCCCACAGATGCTCAATTGGATTGAAATCTAGAGAATTTAGAGATCAAGGCAACACCTTAAACTCTTTGTCATTGTTCCTCAAACCATTCCTGAAATTTTTTTTTGCAGTGTGGCAGAGTGCATTAACCTTCTGAAAGAAACCACTACCATCAGGTCACACCATTGCCATGACTGATTGCCATGCCATGACATACATGGACTGCAACACTAGACAGCCACTAGAGGCAGAGTAAAACTCAAGTCTCAGAGAGGCCATCAGATTAGCGCAGCACAGCATTTTTCCACGCATGTGTACTAGCCTCCCACTGCGTACTAGCATCCTACAGGTTGGGGATGGAAATGCCTGAATGGCTGCCAGAGCACTACAGCCTTACAAATACACATTTGTGTTCCTAACTCTACAGTGTTCTTTTAATGCAGCTAGAGTAGGTCTAACTACCTAACCAGAAAAACACTTTATTGCAATTTAAAGTGACGGTAAGCATCAAAACTACATTAGCTTAATCAAGTAGTTTAGTTTTGGTATATAGATCATGCCCTTGTAGTCTCACTGCTCAATTAGGAGGGGTTTTTTTTCTGTTTATTCAGTCCTAGCCACACCTCCTCTGGATGATATTTACAAAGTCTCCATGACAAAATGGTTTTATTATTTTCAATCAGATCTTACAACTCAATCATGGTCATTCACTAATTTAAAGTGAATTTTAAATTTAACGTTTAACTGGAAAAATTTGGAAAAATGCTTTCAGTTCTGCTACTCTGGCTATAAATGTAAAAATCAGTTTGAATATCCTTGAGTGTGTTTACTTTAGAAGTTAATATCTTCGTCTCTGCTTAAGGAACACTCCGAGCACCAACGGTGACAGAGTTGGGCACTATAGTTTAAGGGGGCAGAGACACTGCACCCAAACCACTTCGATGAGATGAAGTGGTCTTGGTGCCTATAGTATTCCCTTTAATTTTATGGAAAATATTTTAATTTTGTAATATTTAGATTTATATATTGAGATATATATATTTATATATATTAAATTATTTTTGTATTTTTTGCAATTTGTGCAATTCTGACTTAGTATGTCTGTGTCTCTGGTATTGTGTATGTGCCTGAGCAGCCTTGTGTTTGCATGTGTATGTCTGTGTCTGGAAGCATATGTGTGTGGGGTAGTTGCTTGCACTGTGTTGTGTATAAAGGGGGCTGCTTGAAGTATTTGTTTGTTGTGTTTATGATGAGACTTTAGTTTTATATATGGTAGATGACTACGTACGACGATGACTATCTGGAGGGTAGATTAGTGTAAGTGAGCGTAAGGGTCATGGAAATGAGTGACTGAGAGTTAATGGCTGGTGAGTTTGACAGAGTTAAGGTGAGGGCAGGGGCGTACCTAGAGCATTTGGCACCCGGGGCGGATCCTGTGCTTGGCACCTCCCCCCCCCACCACCACCACCACCCAAAAAAAAAAAAAACTGTAAAAAAATGTTAAAGGTTTTCTTTCTTTTTTTTTTTTTACAATTTATAAACTTTGCAAAACCGCTGTCAGCCCCTCCTGCAAAACCCTTGTCCTGCCCCGCCCCTCCTACAAAACCTCTGTCCTGCCCCTTCCACAAATCCTGTACTGCCCCGTCTACAAAACCCCTGCAACCCACTTCCACAAATCCCCTGCTTATCCCCCTAATAAAGACTCCTGTCCCAATACAAAACCCCAGCACCCTTCTACAAAATCCCTGTAGCCCCACACACACATTTACAGGCAGACAGTCACACACTCAGTTACAGACAGACAGTCACACACTCAGTTACAGGCAGACAGTCACACACAGTCACAGGCAGACAGTCACACATACACATTTCCTCCGTGCGCCCAGTTTATCAGCTGTTTGCTTGTGTGAGCTGTACTGGCCGCACGGCACCCTAACTACCATGGGACACTGTGCGGCCACAGCTCACACAGCCCCCTCCAGCCAGGACCGGTGCAAGGATTTTTGCCACCCTAGGCAAAAGTAAAGTTTGCCGCCCCTCCCCCCCCCTTTGTGACAACACAATGCCCCACCCATATGATTTGCCATGTTAACTAACGCCAGCGCTGCAGTGCCGCCGTGTTTACATTAAAAGGCCTGCAGGGACAGGCTATAGACACCAGAACCACTACATTAAGCTGAAGTGGTTCTGGGGACTATAGTGTTTCTTTAATATGAGGTAAATTAGAGTTTAGTGCTAATTTGCTAGATTGCCTACTTACAACCAGATGAGGATGATGATGGGCTCTAGCTGCAGTCTGGCTCCACTGGTCTGGTGCGGAACAGGCTCTCTGGAGGCGGTTTGTAACTGTGGTCACAAAAATCAATGTTCTCCGAGAATGGGAAGCAGCTCCATTTTTTGGGGGTCCTTTACACAGCTCAAGGTCTGGGTCCCAGGGTCCACCTTCATGTTCCACCAATGAGTTTGTTCACAGGGGGTGGAGTGTGTAGGGGATGTCCTGATATGTGTGTAAGGAATGCATTGTGTGAAATTGTGTTTGTATGTGTAAGGGCTGCAAGGTGTGTTTCTGTGTATGTACGGGATGCATTGCATGTGTGTAAGGGATGCATTGTGTGTAACGGTTGCATTGCTTGTGTATGTGTGTCTGTGTGTGTAATGCATTGTGTGTATGTGATGAATGTCAATCTCCCCCCCCCCTCATCCTCCCAATTTCTCAAACTCCCCCCCCTCCTCCTCCCAATTTCTCAATCTCCCCCTGTCCCTCCTCCCATTTCTCAATCTCCCTCCTCCCAATTTTTCAATCCCCTCCCATTTCTCAATCTCCCTCCCTCCCAATTTCCTCCTCCCTCCCATTTCTCTCCCCTCCCACTTCTCAACCTCCCTCCCAATTTCTCAATCTCCCCCTCCCAATTTCTCCTCCCACTTCTCCCCCCTCCCATTTCTCAATCTCCCTCCCACTTCTCAATCTCCCTCCCCCTTTTCCCTCCCACTTTCCCCTCCCACTTTCACCTCTCCCAATTTCTCACTCCCCTCCCATTTCTCTCCCTCCCACTTCTCTCTTTTTCCCCTCTCTTTCTCCCTCCCAATTTCTTTTTCCCCTGCCCCTACCTCCCTGTAGGGTGGCCGAGCCCAGTATAGTCCGCGGGTACAGGGAGCACCTGTCTCCTGTACCCGGCCGGACTAACAGGAAGTGCACACTCAGTGCCCGGCCGGGTACAGGAGACAGATGCTCCCTGTACCCGCGGACCAATAGAGGGCTCGGCCACGCTACAGGGAGGGAGTGACAGGAGGGAGCGCTGAGCGCTTCCTTCCTGTCAGCCCCTCTCCCCATGCTGCACCCGGGCGGTGCAGTCCGCCCTCATGGACGCATTGCCCGGGCAAAGCTGCAGCCGCCTGAGGCTCTCAACAGAGACGCACTGCCCGGGCGGCTGCCGCATGGGCGGACCGCCCCCTCCGCACCCCCCTTAGTACGCCACTGGGTGAGGGGTAGTGAGTGTGACAAGGTTGGGTGGTGGTGTGACAGGGTTTGGAACTGAGTGTGATAGAGTGAAGGGAGTGATTGTGACAAAGTTGGTGGGTGAATGACTGTGGCACAGTGAGTGTGGTAACATTGTATGAGGGCTAAGTGTGTGGGGGACTGGACACAGTATGTGTAGAGGCTGTGTTGAACACAGTCTCCCCACACTGTTTGCCTTTAAAAAAAAAGTATATTTGATGGACACAGTCGCATAGACAGAGAGCTCTGCCGAAACTGTGGGCCCTACAGCGTGGAACACAGCAATTCTGCCACCAACAACAACCCATTTAACCTCCAGCCCTACCCTGAACACAATGCCAACAAAATCCTCCAAGAAATTAAAACAGAAAACGATCGACTCACATCTCAGCTCGAAACAAACGGAGCACTTATGCGACCAAGATGGCACCGGAACGCATGGTTCACCCACATATGAAGCAGAGACGGAAGACATCCAGGGTTGCCACAGCAGTGAATCCTCAATCCCTGCTACAAATGCCTCAGTGAGTACCATGCTTGACAAACTAAAATCAGCCTTATTCTCAGATCTCCAACGCATAGCAGCAGACATTAGAGCTGACATACAAGCAATAGGGGACAGAACAGCTCACCTGGAAGAAAAGACAGAGGGTATTTTAACAGCACACAATGAGCTAGCAGATGCACATACAGCACTGGAAAACAAAGTTAAATACCTGGAAGGGAAAATTGCAGATAATGAGGATAGAGACAGACGGAACAACATAAGGATACCTGGAATACCTGAAAATATAGGTCCACAAGATCTCACACACTACGTACAGAAGTTGTTCAAATCCCTAATCCCATCATTAACAGATGCGGATCTTCGCTTGGACAGAACCCACAGGCTACCCAAGCCAAGACATCTGCCCACAACTACCTCAAGGGACGTCATAACCAGACTCCACTATTTTACAGTCAAAGACCAAATAATGCAGACATCAAGACTTAATTCATCTCTCCCTGAAGAATACACAAACATAAAATTGTTTATCGACCTCTCAGCATCAACAATTAACAAAAGGCGCTCATTCACACCGATCATGACAGCCCTCAGAAATGCCAACATCTTATACAAATGGGGATTCCCTACCAAACTCCTCTCAAACGCAACGGAACAGACCGCGCAATCCTCAAGCCTGAAGATGGCATACAGATTCTGGAAGATTGGAACATTCCTATCCCTGCTCCGCAGAGTGAAAAACTAAAGACTGATACACTGCCACCACGTAAAATGGCGAGAGACTGGCAACAAGTCCCTTGGATCAACAATACTTCACAAGGCCGCAGAAATTACCAGCCTTGAACACCATCCTACTCCGCTACAAGACACGTAACGCATCGCACTTGCATTAATGTTGTTGTATTGCTATTTAACTGGGTTAAATGTTCTAATGTACAAAAACCAAAAAAATAAAAAAAATAATAGGTAATTATACTGCGCAAGTGGCCCCTTAGCATAGGCTCACAAATGGCGGAATACTCAAACTGTTTCAACTTGGATTGTACTACAACTGCTACTGTTTAGATTACGTTTGCTAAGATTAAGACTATAGTCACCTCTCTCATTTAAGAATACCAATCTATCTTTACACCAAGCCACCACTAACCCCCAAAACAGGCCCACCAGTGAGCCTTTAAATACCCGTCTGCACATTGTTGCATCAGGCCCTAGTGGCTAACGGGCAAGTGTACATAGTTTTACCCCAACCCCATCCCCGTACCCTACCAAGTTACCTCTTGCAGTTTAAGTAACAATATATAACACCCAAAATACTCCTTTATTGGAGAAAGTACATAGGCGTATACACTAATATCATCACCATAACAACAAGCAATATGCCACTAAAATTCTTCTCTCTAAACGTCAAAGGTTTAAACACACCCAACAAATGCAGACTCGCCCTCCAAGAGGCCAAAAGACAGGCGGCACATGTGGCGTTTTTTCGGGAAACCCATTTTAAGTGGGGATCCACACCCAGATTTACCTCCCCTTGGTTCCCTGTTGACTACCACACCTGCTACCACAAAAAAAAAAGAGGGGAATCGATCCTAATAAATAAATCTGTTGTCTTCGAGCTCATTCGCAAAATCTGAGACAAAAAGGGTAGATATTTTATATTACAATGTCGTCTCAATAACCAACCATATACGTTGATGAATGTTTATAGCCCAAACGAAAGTCAACCTGTATTCATGGATAATGTTTTTTGTCTCTTGTCAAGGTACAGCTTTGGGGAGGTAATTCTTGGAGGCGACACTAACTTCCTCCTGGACGTAAATATAGATTCATCTACCTCAACAAGGGTAACCAGCACAACACTAAAACAACGACATAAACAAACATCCCAAATCTGCCAAACACTAACAACACACAACTTTGAAGACCCATGGAGGATATCACGCCAGGCAGAAATAGATTACACATGTTACACTGCTGCACACAACAGCTATTCTAGAATTGATAGATTCTTAATTAAAGCCACGTAATTAACGAGACTAATAAACGCAGATATTGGCGTTATCTCTTGGTCGGATCATGCCCCCATCACTCTAACTCTGACCGAACAATTTCCTGCTAACGCCAGATCGACCTGGAGATTAAATGAGTCTCTGCTCAATGATCCGGTAGTGATATCACATATTACAACAGATCTACAAAACTATTTCACAGAAAACACACAATCAGACACCACACCAGAATACCTATGGCTAGCCCATAAGGCTGTGATAAGGGGCAGTTTCATAAAACATGGAAGCCAAGCCAAAAAGGCCCGTCAAGCCCAATACTTAAAACTGATGGAAGAAATAACCGCACTAACACATAAAAATAAACAATCCCAAACACCTACCACACAAGCAGCTTTACTAAAAGCACAATCTCAACTAAGAGACTTTGAATTGGCCAAAACCACACACATACTACAGAAGACCAAACACAAATACTTCACCTATGGTAATAAAGCCGGAGCAAAACTGGCTGCACAACTCAAACAAAAATCAATCGCCTCCAGGATTGCCTCCCTTAGCAACAACAATGGTTAAAATTTTTTAGATCCGAAACAAATTGTAAATGAATTCGCCAACTACTATCACAAACTATATAATCTAAAGGATGACAAGACAGTGCAAATACCCACCCCAGCTGCTATTGACGCCTTCCTGGCAAACATTGATTTACCATCCCTAACACAAGACAACATTCATCAACTCAAACAACCAATATCTCCCGAAGAAATATCCAAAGCCATAGCAGACCTACCATTGAACAAGGCACCAGGACCAGATGGTCTCCCAAACAGATACTATAAAGAATTCTCCCAACACATAACACCACACCTACTGAACCTATACCATAACTGCAGCGACAAGGGAACTCTACCATCAGAATTACTGTTAGCCCACATCTCCACTCTACCCAAACCCGGTAAACCCCCGAACATCTGCAAAAACTTTAGACCAATATCTCTCCTAAACAGCAACGCCAAACTATATGCAAAAATATTAAGCAACAGATTAGCACCGATGATAGCAAAATTGGTCCACGACGACCAATCCAGGTTTGTTGGGGGAAGACAGGGCTCAGACAACACCCGAAAAACTCTCAACATACTGACCACAATGGGAAGAGATTCGGTCGGAGGTCTCCTCCTAGCATTAGACGCGGAGAAGGCCTTCGACCGACTCAACTGGGCATAAATGCAGCAAGTGCTCTCCAAATATGGATTCCCGGTTGAATTTATCAGGGGAATCATGGCACTTTACACAACACCAGCGGCCAAAGTGGCTCATGGTGTCTTCATATCTAGACCATTTGCTATCACAAACGGGACGCGCCAGGGATGCCTCTATCCCCCCTGCTTTACATCCTATCCCTCGAACCGTTGGCCCAAAAAATACGTACAGATCCCAACATAAATAGAATCAAAATTTCAGGACAGGAATACAAATTGGCATTGTTCGCCGATGACATTTTGATAACATTAGGGAACCCCCAGCGATCTCTACCACCCCTCATGGAAACCCTGAAAGCATTCGGCGACATCTCCCACTATCGCCTGAATCAAGATAAAACCCAGGCCCTCCCTATTGGGCTTCCTTTAGCCACCAAAACAACACTGAAAGATAACTACCCCTTTGACTGGAGAACGACATCACTAACTTACCTAGGTGTAAAAATAGCGCCGTCATTAGACGAAATCCTGAAATTAAATCACCTCACGCTCCCCCAACAATGCAAAAGAGACATACAAAAATGGTCTCAAACGCACATCTCATAGCTAGGAAAAATCAACGCATACAAGATGATGTTGTTGCCTAAGATACTCTACATATTCAGAATGCTCCCCATCCAGGCCCCACAAACACTCCTCAACTCCCTGCAAAACATCTGCAGCTCATTCATATGGGGAAACAAAAAAAACACGCATATCTCGCACCTTACTCTATAAACACCCAAAAAACTGAGGAGTAGGGCTACCCTAAATAGGCTAGTATTACAAAGCCACAATGTTGGCATCAGGCATATTGATACACTCAGAAAAAGGTAATATTCAATGGGTGGACATGGAAAGAGCCCAATTGGACAAAAATGCGACACTCGACTTCCTATGGACGCTGAGGAAACATAGACCAAACAAGCCAAACCTATTCCCGACCACGTCACTAACCGTCCAAATTTGGTCAAAATTCCTAGATACAATGGGAGCCAAAGAAACATTCCACCCCAACGCACCACTAACAGCACTAAGGGCCATATCACCTGACATGTGTATCCAGACATGGTCACACGCAGGTATTATGCACATTCACCAATTATTACAATCACAAGACGTAATGACCTTCACAGACATACAACAGAAATGGGAACTACCAGCAAACACTATTTTCACATACCTACAACTAAAAGGGATCATTACCTTTAACACACGTAAACAGACAACAACAAAACCTTAGCCCAACCCCCTCTTCAGCAAAAGCGATAATAGAAAGATGCTGGAAGGGCCCTATGAAAAAGAAAAATATTTCCCTATGCTATAAGGCCTGGGATGATACCCTAACCAACACTACACCGCACTGCAAAACAATGTGGGAAACAGAATGCGCTATCCAACTCACAGATGACGAATGGATCCACGCACTGAATGACATATCTAAATGGACTAAGTGCTACACCCATATAGAAGCACATAGAAAATTGCTGTACAGATGGCATTTAACTCCATACACTCTCCACAAAATTTATCCCAATACATCCACCCTTTGCTGGAGGTGCTCAGCAGAGAAAGGCGCGCACACATATGGTGGTCATGCCCCAACATCCAACCCCTTTGGGTAGAAGTACAAAACACGTTAAGTGCCCTCAAGGTCCTACACACCAGGAACACCCCTGAATTATTCCTACTTATGTGATTCCCCCCATCATTTGAATATGCACACAAACAACTGAGTGCAATCATTATTTTGGCAGCCCGTAACTTGATACAAATCTGGCTTTGCATCAACGCATGAGCGCTACAATCTACTCTCGCTGATGTGCAATCGGACCCTAGTCATGCCACAGTTCATTCCTCACAATCTGGACCAAGAACCCAGAAGTGTCCTAAACCTTGACACCGTTCACAAACCTGGGAGTCTCTCCAATGGCAGGGATTTTTCCAGTACTGTGACCTGAGTACCTGGAGTGGAAAGGTCAGAAGACACTGTGTCTTGGTTCTATTTAAAGCCTGGGGCTGCACCCGGGGAGGTGGCGGAAGTTTTCCGAGACTTCTACCAGACGTTATATAATCACACACCTGCAGACGCCCAATGCGGTGCCCAGGAGATGGACAGCACTTACAGATTTTTATTTAGGCTTACCAAAGCTCCCATAAGAGGCTAGGACACAGCTGGCGGCAGAGATCACGGAAGAGGAGGTAGTTAGGGCGATCGGGGGGCTACAAGGGAACAAGGCCCCGGGACCGGATGGGTTTGATGGCGCCTATTATAAGACCTTTACAGAGGAGCTTGTACCCCACATGCTTAAACTATTTAACCACTTTAGGGAGGGGGGCACACCGAGCCCGGACATGACATTGGCCTCCATTGTATTACTTCCCAAACCCGATAAGGACCCGCTGCTGCCTGGTAGTTATAGGCCCATTTCCCTCATAAATCAGGACATGAAGATACTAGCTAAGATAATGGCCGATAGACTTTCCCCACATTTGACATGTCTTATAAACCCCGACCAGGTAGGCTTCATCCCAGGACGACAATTGTTTGAAAATACCCGTAGGAACATAGACCTCATATGGAAACAAACAGTCACGAACATGCCCACGCTGGCAGTCTCTATAGATGCTGAAAAAGCTTTTGATAGAGTTAAGTGGCGTTATATGTTTACGGTGCTACGGCATTTGGGGTTCCCCGAGGAATACATTACAATGGTGGAGGCTATGTACAGTAATCCTAGAGCACAGGTTCGGGTCTCGGGGTCGCCGCCTTCCCCCTTCCCGCTCTATAATGGAACTCGGCAGGGATGCCCACTCTCCCCTCTACTTTTTGCCCTTCCTGCAAGCGCTCCGGAAACATCCGGGGATCCACGGGGTACGGGTGGGTGGTAAGGAATTTTTAGTAGCTGCTTACGCCGATGACGTACTTCTGACGCTCACAAGTCCTGGTGAATCTATGATGGCTTTGCGTGAGGTATTGGCAACATACGGGGAAATTTCCGGATTTAAAGCGAATATGACAAAATCGAGTGCACTCCCCATTAGAACGCCAAAGGAAGATATAGCCCAAATACATAGAGAGCATCATATTAAGATTGAGACGCGTTCTATCAACTATCTGGGAATTCAATTGACCGCAGACCCAGACGACTTATATGCATGCAATTATACTCCGTTATGGCATGCATTGATGAGAGATATGGACAGATGGATCGATAAGTCAATATCTTGGATGGGGCGGATCCATTCTGTCAAAATGAACGTCCTGCCGAGGGCCTTGTTCCTCTTCCTGGCTCTTCCAATCCCCTTGACTAGGGCACAGCTCACCCCGCTCCAACGGGCAATAGGGAACTTTGTGTGGCAGCATAAGAGACACCGCATATCCAGATACATTCTGTATAGGCCAAGGACAAGGGGGGGGGGTTGGCCTCCCAGACCTGTACCACTACTATATAGTGGTGCAATTAGCTCAGGTAGCGCTCTGGCATTCACCCCCAGACGAGCGGAGATGGGTGGACATAGAGTCATTTATGATGGGGATGGATATGCCCCAGTTTGTGATATGGGTACCTAAGGAACATAGACCACCGATTGGGGTCACCTGTCCGGCGGTGGTGAACTCTCTGCGGCTCTGGGATTCTTGCAGCAGAAAGTACGGGCTGGCGTCCTGTCCCTCCCCCCTTACGCCAATATTACGAAATGATACGTTTGCTCCAGGGATGGCGGCTAGGAATTTTAGGAATCTAGAGTATGCGGGCCTGCAGAGACTTCGCCACCTCTACCGGGGCCCAGACATGATAACATTTGATGAACTATGACAGGACAGACACCTAACACCAACGGATTTCTTTCGATTTCTGCAGATTAAGGACTATGCCAGACAACCCCATATCAAGACAATAGCACAGGGACCACTGACGTTCTTTGAATCTATGTGCAATACAGGGTGCATACCGAAGGGACTCATAGCACAGCTCTACACGCACTTCTGCACTGTGGCGCGGGGGTGGGGGGAGATGACTTATATTACACAATGGGAGAGAGACCTGGGGGAGGAACTTGAGGGGGTAGAGTGGCAGGAGATTTGGGAGGCTAGCAGAACAACCTCGATATGTGTAACATTACAAGAACAATCCTGGAATCTACTGGGTTCTCCCCCTTTGAGTTGCTCTATGGGAGAAGGGTCCGGGGACCCCTAGATCTCATTCGGGGCCACTGGGAGGGGGAGACGGAGCAGGAGGGGACCCCCATCGTGCCATATGTCCTGGAACTCCGGGACCGCATGGAGAAACTATCCCTGATAGTAAGGGAGAATCTCCAGGCGGCCCAGGGGAGACAGAAGAGGTGGTACGATCAGGGTGCGGGTCTTCCAGGTTGGGCAGAAGGTATTGGTGCTTAAACCTGTGAAGGCAAACAAGATGCAAGCATCTTGGCAGGGCCCGTACCGAGTAATAGCGCAGATTTGCAATACTACTTACTTGATAGCCAACTGTACAGATGAAAGGTGTCAGGGTCTTACCTGAGTTGGGAGTCTGTAGCGCAGATATGATGCTCACCCTTGCAGATAGCCACAGGCCGAGGTGGTCAGGTAAGAATTCACCTGGCCTGTGGGTCTGTGCACGGGGGCTGTGCAGGATGCAGTACCAATACGCAGGACAGGCAAGGACTGAACCAGAAGGATGGTCGAGGGATAGCCGAGGTCAAAGGATGCCAGAGGACAGGAACAACGAGGAGTAGCCGAAGTCAAGGGATGCCAGAAGTCAGAATAAACGAGTCAGGAAGCCGGGGTCAATAATGCGAAGCGATGAAACAGGAACACTGGAACAAACAGGATCAAGGACTTGACACTGAGCACAGGGCGAGGCTGGGTTATATACCCTGCTGATGACTGATCAGAGTCAGGTGAAACACAGCCAAGTCAAGGTGCAGCCCCCAGAGTAGTAGCCATGTCAGGATGAACAGGATTGGAATCAGTCTTCACTGTAAATAGCTGCTGTGGCTCAGAGGTAGAAAGCAGGACCAGGACTGAGAAGATCCCCGGTTCAAGTCCCCTGTTGGGAACTCCAAGAGCGACCACGTCTTGCCGTCTGTCTATCAGGTGAGAACCGTGACAGTACCCCCCCCTTTAAAAACGACCTCCGGGCGTGAATGGGTTCATTGTCAGCATAGTACACCTCTCCAGGGTCACTATCTGAATCCAGTGAGTCCCCATAGTCAAACTCCCCAGCAAGGATTCCCTTTACAGCCTGGGAGTCCGCAGTACCAGCTTCTGGTACGGCTGGAGAATTGTCCAGGTCTTTTAGGTTCCGGGTACAGGTGGCAAGCACTTCCAAAACTTTGGCAGGAGCAGTGTTCGCAGCTAACAATGCTTTTTCGAACACATCAAGGTCTTCTTTACGGACTATAGTGCCATTAGAAGCAACGGCACAATCCACAGGTAAAACCTCTTCGGGCGGGCAGGAAGTAGTGGTGGTATCACAGGAAGCAACTTCGGGAGTAGATGCAGGAGGCTCTGGAGCAGGGGATGGAGGTTTTCTCGCGGAAGCCAAGCATGTGCAAGCACAACGGCTTCTATTTGGCTTTTTAGGCTGGTATGCGGTGTACACAGGGCGAAGGAAACTAGTACCAAGTCGGAGAGCTGGAGGTCTAGGAGGGCGAACAGGACAAAGCGTGATGAAGTGCCCTTTTTCTCCACAGTAATAACATAGGCCATAGCTTCTCCTTCGGTCTTTTTCCTTAGGTGTCACTTTGCAGTGGACGAGTCCTAATTGCATAGGTTCCACAGGGTCAAGTGGAACACCGGATACCTCTGGAGTTTTCCTGGGAGCTGGAACATAAGGAGGCATTTCTGGGGCGTAGTGGTGGTACTCGGTTTCTTGGTTAGGAAGAGTCTGAGATTTTTTAGTACGTGGAGCTGACTTGGCCACAGTGGTCTTACATTGTGAGTCCATAGCAGTACTAAAGGATTCCCAGCTGACCAGGACAGGACTCTTCGTCTGCAACATTTGGTGAGCCCAAACTTTGATGCGTCCAGACAACAGGTTGATAGCCGCTCTGACCCTGATGAATTCTGTGGCATATGTTCGAGGCTTTAAAGAAAACAACACCTCACAATCCATCTTGAAAGACTGAAAGGATGTGCGGCTACCATCAAATCGGTCGGGCATGATGACAAACGGTTCAGGAAAAGCTGGTTCCGGGGCTGGATGTACTGCGCCTTTAAGGAATAAAATTTCTTGCTGCAGCTCCGAAACAGTCTGGGCCAGGCTGGACACACGCTGGGTCGAGGGTGAGCACATCTCTGCGGACTCCATAATGGTCAAGTCTTATGTCAGGGTCTTACCTGAGTTGGGAGTCTGTAGCGCAGATATGATGCTCACCCTTGCAGATAGCCACAGGCCGAGGTGGTCAGGTAAGAATTCACCTGGCCTGTGGGTCTGTGCACGGGGGCTGTGCAGGATGCAGTACCAATACGCAGGACAGGCAAGGACTGAACCAGCAGGATGGTAGAGGGATAGCCGAGGTCAAAGGATGCCAGAGGACAGGAACAACGAGGAGTAGCCGAAGTCAAGGGATGCCAGAAGTCAGAATAAACGAGTCAGGAAGCCGGGGTCAATAATGCGAAGCGATGAAACAGGAACACTGGAACAAACAGGATCAAGACTTGACACTGAGCACAGGGCGAGGCTGGGTTTATATACCCTGCTGATGACTGATCAGAGTCAGGTGAAACACAGCCAAGTCAAGGTGCAGCCCCCAGAGTAGTAGCCATGTCAGGATGAACAGGATTGGAATCAGTCTTCACTGTAAATAGCTGCTGTGGCTCAGAGGTAGAAAGCAGGACCAGGACTGAGAAGATCCCCGGTTCAAGTCCCCTGTTGGGAACTCCAAGAGCGACCACGTCTTGCCGTCTGTCTATCAGGTGAGAACCGTGACAAAAGGGTTCAGAGACCCAGGAGAGACCTGAGAATATTGCGGCAGTATGTGCCCCGGCTGCAGATGATCCTGAGAATTTACCCCCTCCCGATTTGTTAGAAAGGGACCCCCAGACTGACCTCACTAACCTTGTAAAGCTAGGGGACAGGTTAAACCCCACAGAAAGGGTACAGACGAAACAGCCGTTGTGGGAGAAGCAGGCGACGTTCTCCCAGGAGCCAGGTTATACTACCCTAGCTGTACATAAGGTCGAGACCCCTAGACAGACCCCCTTACGACAGCCGCCACTTCGTATCCCTGAAGCAGTCCGAGAAGGAATGCGGAAGGAGATACAGGAGATGACCCAGCTTGGGGTCATCGAGCCCTCCGACAGCCCTTGGGCCTCGACTGTAGTCCTGGTGCCCAAGAAGGACGGGACCACCCGGTTCTGTGTAGATTACAGGCGACTCAATGAGCGGACCACCACTGACGCCTACCCGATGCCCCAGGTAGACGAATTACTAGATCTTATTGCCAGGGGGCGCTACCTGACCACCATAGACCTGTGTAAGGGCTACTGGCAGATCCCCCTGGCCGAGGATACTATCCCCAAGTCGGCATTCATCACCCCGTTTGGCCTGTACCAATTTAAGGTCATGCCTTTTGGAATGAAGAATGCCCCGGCTACCTTCCAACGGATGGTGGATAGACTCCTGGATGGCTTCCAAGAATTTGCCTGTGCATACTTGGACGACATTGCGCTTTACAGTGGGTCCTGGGAGGAACACCTGGTTCATGTAGGGGTGGTACTGGATAAGATTCAGGCCGCTGGCCTGACATTGAAGCCAGAGAAGTGCCATCTAGGTATGGCTGAAGTACAGTACCTGGGTCACAGAGTGGGATGTGGGAGTCAGAGACCAGAGCCAGCCAAGGTCGAGGCAGTGGCTCACTGGCCTACACCTACCACTAAGACCCAGGTATTGGCCTTCTTGGGGACGGCAGGGTACTACCGACGTTTTGTCCCTGACTACAGCACTATTGCTAAGCCCCTGACAGACCTGACGAAGAAGAACTTGCCTAAGCAGGTCCTGTGGTCTCTGGCTTGTGAAGCTGCGTTCCAGGCACTGAAACAGGCTCTTGTGAATGCCCCTGTCTTGGCTGCCCCAGTCCCTAACAAACATTTTCTCGTTCACACAGATGCTTCCATGTATGGACTGGGGGCTGTGCTGAGCCAAGTCGGGGAGGATGGAGGAGAGCACCCTGTCGCATATCTCAGCCGAAAGTTGTTACCCAGAGAAGTGAATTATGCTGCAGTGGAGAAGGAGTGTTTAGCCTTGGTCTGGGCATTGAAGAAGTTAAGTCCCTACTTATACGGGCAAGAGTTTTCCCTTGTGACTGACCCACTCGTCTGGCTTAACCGGGTCTCAGGGGACAATGGTAGACTGCTGAGGTGGAGTTTGGCACTACAGCCCTACAATTTCACTATCAGCTACAGACCCGTTAAGCAGAACAGGAATGCAGATGGGTTATCCCGGCAAACTGACATCTCCACCACCTCCTAGTCCGGTCATCCCCAAGTTGACCCGCCAAAGGTTCAAGCCGGGTCTGCCGGAGTGTCCCACAAGGAGGGAGCCATGTGACAGAACCATCTGTCTGTCTCTTGTGGTGGATTCGTTTATTTCTGCCTTCCTTCGTGTAAATGGCTGTTTCTATAGCCAAGCCATACGAATGACTCTTTTTTACCGAACAAATCTACCGAACGGATAGCCACCCAGGATAGAAGTGTGCTGCTGGTTAACCTCTTGATCCCAATTAGAACGTTGTGTTTAACCGCAGACACTTCTCAATTAAACCCAATTCAGGGTGGCCGTCGTTCGTATGTTGACCACGAGACAGCGGCCATTTTAAAACACACGAAAGACCAGCAGTGTTCGGCACTGATTTCATGGAACTAAAAACGGACACTTTTTCTGCCAAACACCGCTGAAACAACGGGTCGCCCTACTCCATCGACGAAAGCATGCGAACACCAGCCGTTCGGGAGTTTGGAATCACACAAAAAGCCTTAACCCAGATAGCCTTCCTATGGAGTCAATCGCATACCGAAAGACTGTAAGAACTTTGACTCCATGGCGATTGAACTATGTGTGTGGGATCTGAGCGCTATTCGCTAATAATATGCCCTCAGATCCAGGCTATCTGGGGATGTGTGATACAAATGTGAAATGTTCTGTAGTTGTAGAATTATATATTTTTGTGTGTTTTCTGGCATTTTATTTAAGATGGCGATTTGTCTTTGTCCTGGAGATAATTTAATTACTTCTCAATTATCTCCAGGGCAGAGGGGAGGAAACCATATTGCATTGTGGGAAAAGTTTACATCTGTATGTCTGAAATGTCCCCATGTCTATCTGTCATTACAGTCTCCCATTTGGTCCCCTAGGGGAGTGTCCACCAAGTGGGAGACCTGCATAAATACGGGCGGGTAGCCCACAGTAAAGCCAGATCCTGTTTGGCCCTCAATGCGGAGCTTCTGTCTTGTTATTGGGGGGATTTACTATTGATGCCTAGAGACTGATTATTGGAACTGAAAGCCGCTTGGTGGATATCTTCGTTCGGTGGTTAGCGGCGGTTCGTGGATTTCTGTTCGGGAGTTTGGAACCTTTCACGGATCCCGGTCGGGAGATTACCGCTTCCCCTGATGGTGGTTCGTATACTGTAGTCTAGGCGAACGGAGTTACTGATATTGTGAACGTGGAAGGTTAACTAAACGGCGGTTTTTCTTAAAGACACCAGGGGTGTCTTAACAGTAGGTGTAGTCCAAAACATTTGGAATGCCTATCCCTGACGTAGACAATATACTTCTGACAGCAAAGGGCCACAACAACATGATACGGATCTGTCGAGATTTTGGACGCTAATACATTATGAGAAAAAGCAGCCTGGCACCTTTGCAAAGGATGCTTTTTTTTAATGGGGCCCACTTCACCACCCTTCAGAACAGACAGGGTTATTCACTAACGTGAGACTTCAAGATGAATTCAAAATTCAATTCAAATTTAAGATCAAAATATCCAAACTGGAAAGCAATCTCTAGGTCAGCTAAGCTTCCATTTTAGCTACTCTGGCCTTAAATCTAAAATTAACTTTGAATTCTCACTTTATTGAATAGCTCTGAATGGTTTTATCTCAAGAAAGATGTCAAACGCTGATATGACTGTGGCAAACCTAGCCACTTCAGACTATTTTGTTTATCTTTGAGGGTTGCCCTAGAAAGACTGGTTTATGTATGATGTTTAATGTGTTCGCTTAAAATGTGAAAGAGTGAATTCGTATGCTAGTGGCACGAAAGCCGCTAGCATTCATATGGTAGTTTCACGAACAGTGATTTTCAACACTGTTCGTGAAACGAACAAAGTACCGAATGGGAGCCCACACACAGGGGGGCATGTGGCTCCCATTAACCGATTGCAACAATGTATCCATCGGCTGTTAATTGATTCACAGGGTGGCCATCGTTTGGCTACCGACCACGAGGCAGCGGCCATCTTGGATTCCCTTTTTGCCCAGCGGTGTTTGGTCATCGAGTGCCTGGAACTAAAATCGGCTACTCGACGGCACGAACACCGCTGGACTTCCAGGCCGTTCGGAAACGCCGGTCTTTCGTTTTTTATTCCCCACTTGTGTATTCGTGACTTTTATGAGGAATGTATATTGAAGTGTATTTCGTGTGGCATTCGGCTGATTGTGCTGGGATCTGCATACATTGTTCCTCTAGTTGGTATGATTCTTGCAGCCGTCTAGAAAAAGGCAGAATTCATCACTGGCCTATTATTGTTGCCACTAAGACTTTAGTTTCCCATTAAGATGAGCAGGTGAAATTCCACACTAAAGTCATACCCAGCCATACTTGTTATCATAAAGTCTTTTGATTTACTTGGAGATCAAGCATGGTTCTCCATCTATCTCTCATTTTGAAGACTTTTTGAAGACCCAAAAATGTATGTTATTTAAAGGTCCAAATCTTGGTTCTCTCTTCCTTGACATCATCATGTTTTTTTGTTGTTCACCTGTTTCATCTCGTGGAAGTGGTTATAATGTCTGGAGTCCCATGATGCCATCTTTCAATTTAGTTTTTAGCTGTTTAGTATTAATGCTAAACAGAAGTCCCCAGCAGCCCATCCCCTCTGTGCTGTTTGGGCTAATGAGGAAAACTTATCCTAAGTAGCAATGGGCAGCTGTGATTGGCTGAGAGTGTTAGCTGACTACTTTCAGCCTATCACAGGGCCCATTGCTGGTCTGAATTGGTACAGCTTAAAGGAAGTGTATAACCTCTGCCTTCATTATACCACTAGTAGGGGCTGGGCTGTAGTTGATCTGCTACCCTTATTCAGTGTTAAACTGTTTTGAAATAGGTTACCACTAAATGGAGGCGGGACAGTAGCAGGGGATCCTGGGCACTATAACCAATTCAATGAGATGAACTGGTTATAGCGCCCACAGTGTCCCTTTAATAGTGGTTCTGAATATTCAGCCAAAATTAAGATTCTTTGTGCCACTGTGTGATTGTACATTCATCCCATTTCAATGTTTGAACCAAAGGACCCTCTCAGCACCTCCTCAGGAAGATCTTCTATTACTGGCGTCTGTCTACACAATATGTTAAATTCTGGCCTCCCCCGAAATTTTCTGTAAGGATAGATTAGTTCTTTATCCAGTACCAGAACCTTTTCCAGTTTTTCTACCATGAGAGTTAAGGGCTGGCCCATACAGACACATTGACACTGACCCATACAGACACACACTGACCCATACAGACAGACACACTGATCAGTACAGACACACACACTAATCTATACAGAGTGACACTGACCCATACAGACAGACTCACTGACCCATACAGACTGACACTGACCCATACAGACACACACTGACCCATACAGACACACACACTGACCCATACAAACTGACACTGACCCATGCAGAAACACTGACCCATGCAGACACACTAACCCATAAAGACACACTGACACTGGAGTTGTTTATCCCATTGTACAGCGCTACGGAATTTGCAGTTGCTATATAAATGATTAAATAATAACATTAAAGAGTCACTACAGGGAAGGGATTTTACTTACCCGGATACAGCGCTGGGATCCTCCTGATGCCGCGCCCCCTATTTCGTCAAAATGACGAAATAGGAGGGTGTGAACAGGGAGCAATAAAACGCTTCTACTCAGAAGTGTCATTGCTCTCTGGTGCGCATGCGCAGCTTTGCCGCACATGCGTAGATACTTCATAGGGCGGCATTCATGTCTCAACTAGGAAGCACCTCTAGTGGCCATCAGAGTGTCCACTAGAGGTATTCCTCAGCAGTAAATACTGCCTTTTTACGAAATGGCAGTGCTTACATCAAAATGCCTGCAGAGACATGCTATAGACACCAGAACTACTACGTTTAACTGTTGTGGTTCTGGTGACTATAGTGTCCCTTGAATATAGAGAGGAAAAAAGAATCATCACAAATGTAAGAAATAAAATGTCTATCATTATTCTAAAAATTATTTTAAAAAAATAAAAAAATATGCATATTCCTAGCTTACTTTTTAGCATGACATATGACACAAACATTTTGTACTTTGCAGATTACTTTTTATATTTTTTTATACGTATACAGATTGTGTAATACTGCCCCTGACTTAGGGTGACCACATTTCCTAACTGTCATTCAGTGACACTGTCAGAAATGCATTCCATACATTTTACTACCCGTCTCTACCCCTTCCATTTATATTAGAACCCCACCTACCCCTTCCATGAATATTAGAACCAACCCTACCCCTCCCATGAATATTAGAACCACTCCTACCCCTTCCATGCACAAAAGAACCCCACCTACCCCTTCCACGCATATTAACCCCCCTAACCCCTTCCATCCATATTAGTAGCCCCCCTAAACCCTTCCAATAATTTTTCTACCTACCCCTCTCCCCCTATCCTTATTAGTAGCCCCCCTAACCCTTTCCAATTATTTTTCTACCTCCCCCTCCCCCATCCATATTAGTAGCCCCCCTAAACCCTTTCCAATTATTTTTCTACCTTTGTCTCCCCTTTTACCTGACATAGCAGGCGGTCCTCTGGACGTCCGGCAGGCGCAGTGTCAGCTGCAGTGGTTCTGGGGACTATAGTGTTTCTTTAATGTGAGGTAAATTAGAGATTAGTGCCACGAATTACATGCTAGATTGCCTACTTACAACCAGATGAGGATGATGATGGGCTCTAGCTGCAGTCTGGCTCCACTCGTCTGGTGTAGAACAGGCTCTCTGGAGGCTGTTTGTAACTGTGGTCACAAAAATCAATGTTCTGGGAGAACGGGAAGCAGCTCCATTTTTTGGGGGACCTTTACACAGCTCAAGGTCTGGGTCCCAGGGTCCACCTTCATGTTCCACCAATTGTTTACAGGGGGTGGAGTGTGTAGGGGATGTCCTGATATGTTTATAAGGAATGCATTGTGTGAATCTGTGTTTGTATGTGTAAGGGCTGCAAGGTGTGTTTCTGTGTATGTACGGGATGCAGTGTGTGCGTGTGTAAGGGGTGCATTGAGTGTGTGTAAGGGGTGTGTAAGGAATGCATTGTGTGTTTCTGTGTGTGTAAGGGATGCATTGTGTGTAAGGGTTGCATTGCTTGTGTGTGTGTGTCTAATTCATTGTGTGTGTAAAGTATTGTGTGTTTTTCTGTGTGTAAGGGGTGCATTGTCTTTGTGTGTAAGGGGTGCATTGTGTGTGATTGTGTGTGTGTGATGGATGTCAATCTCTACCCCCTGCCTTGTCACTCTCTTCTCCCCCCTCTCCCTCCCTTGTCACTCTCTTCTCCCCCCTCCTTCCTTCAATTTCTTCCTCCCCCCTTCAATTTCTTCCTCCTCCTCCCTCCCCCATCAATTTCTTCCTCCTCCTCCCTCCCCATCAATTTCTTCCTCCCCCCTGTAAATTTCTTCCTCCCCCCTCCCTCCCCCTGTCAATTTCTTCCTCCCCCTTCAATTTCTTGCCCCCTTTCCCCTTGTCAATTTCTTCCTCCCCTTCAATTTCTTCCTCCCCTTCAATTTCCCTCCCTCCCTCCTCCTGTCAATTTCTTCCTCCCCTCTTCCTCCTCCCTCCCCTGTCAATTTCTTCCTCCCCCTTCAATTTCTTCCTCCCCCTCCCCCAGTCAATTTCTTCGTCCCCCCCTTCAATTTCTTCCTCCCCCTCCTGGCTGAGCAGACTGATCTGTATGCCGCCGGACCTGTGTTCTACCGGTTGCTAGTGAGCAACAATGTAAGTGCTTCGAGCGCCCAGTAAAATGGCCGGCAGCATACTCACAATAATCTGACTTGTCAGGCCTGGCCCCCCTCTTAAGCAGTGCCCTAGGCGGCCACCTAGTTTGCCTATAGGGAGCACCGGCCCTGCTAGCAAGGCCAGAATGATCTTTTGAGATTTGCTGTTTTGCTCTATTTCTTGTGCTGTTTTGCTCTATTTCTTGTGCAGAGAGAGTCGGCCTGCATTTCGTATCTGTTTACTGAGATAAATGAGGAACTGCACTCAATCCCATAATTCGGAGTCAGGGTGCAACTAGACCTGGACCCAACACGAGGTCCCAAATACCAATTTAGAGAAACAAGAAAGGTCTAGGCACTCCAAGCAGGGCCGTCTTTAATATTTATTGGACCCTGGGCAAGCATCTGTTTGGGCCCCCTGGGCATGCAATCACTCCCTCCACCCCAACCTAGAGGCGAAACTAATGTAGAGAGTGCCTTGGTGCAACAAAAAAAAATTCAGGCCTGCCCTGTAGCACAAGAGTAAAGAAAAGATAGATACCCATCTGCCATACAACTCCTGCGATGCTATGCCAGCTGGGGATCTACCATCCTTGCAGGGTTGTATTTTTGAGCAGTGTTTGTGCAAATGAATGTCAGCATGTTATTGTATAGAGTGTATGTGTGCATGTAGGAGTGTATTTGTATGTACTGTTACCATTGGAATGCAGTGGTGTACTTGTGTGTAGTGTTTGCATTTTAATGCAGGGATGTGTGATTGTTTGTAGTGTTGGCTTTTAAATGCAGGTGTACTTTTGTGTGTAGAGTTGGTGTTTGTATATAATTTTAGCGTTTTAATACAGGAATGTGTTTGCATGTAATGTTTGTATTTGCATGCAGGGGGGTGTTTGGATGTAGTGTTGTCTTTTAAATACATGTGTACATTTGTGTGTAGTATTAGTGTTTCAGCAAACTGGTGTGTTTGTAATGTTTGTGTTTGCAGGGGTCTGTTTGCATGTTGTGTGATTTCTATAACACATATACACATACACATTAACACGCAGATACACACATGCTCACACTGACACATGCTTACACCTTGACACATACTGGCACATACACATACACACACACACTCAGATACACACCCTTTGACACACAGATACAAGCACTTTGATATACACACACTGACACAGGTATATACACACACACTCAGATACACACATACATAAAGGTATAAATGCAGGGGTGTATATGTGTACAGTGCTAGAGATGGAATGTAGGAGTGTATTTGTGTTGGCATTAAAATGCTGGGATGTATGCATTACCACACACTCAGATGCACACTTACACACACACCGAAACACACACACAGGTGCACATACAGGTGTATGAGGTATACATACACACAGAAACACTGACACACAGACAAACACAGCCAGATACACACAAGGACATAAACACAGCCAGATACACACATATATATGTGTACATTTACATATTTTAATCTCTGCCTTCTAGCAGCTCTTGGACAGCAACTCCCAGCAACCTTGGCCAATATAATGTCTCAATTCTGTTCTTACATACCCTGGTCCAGAATTTGGCAAAAGTGACATTTGAAAATGGTGTACAGCCTTTGATAACACTTGATGCAATATGTTAAAACAAATACTTTTTAAATTTATATTTAATAGGGAACTGTCAGGTTCTTCTAGGATTTTTAACATGTATTTATTCCCTGTGTGTTACATTACAAACACCAACACACTTAAATAAAAGTGATATCAGAAATTAGCAAAACAAAAAACAAAACATGTTTAGCCACCCTCCTGTTTCCTTACCTTTTGGCTACAGAAAGGTGGCTTCCCTGGGGTCCAGTGGGAGCTTGCTGGCCCAGGCTGATGGGAGTCTGCCATCAGCTTTCTCAGTCCCTCTCCCCCACAATGCTTGCATCCTCCTCCATGTGGTGTGTGCCCCCTCCCCAGCGGCACTGAGGAGGAAGTGATCAGTTCTTAGTGGGAGGAAGCAATCTGACCTCACTGCCTCCCAGCATGCCCAGGAAACAAAGAGACTCACAGGGCAGTGTGTGAGGGGGCTACCTGTGAGTATGTAGTCAGCCACCCCCCATATAACAGGGGCCCCGGCCGGTATTAAAGGGCTGTGGCCCCTGATTACCGCAGGGGGCCCATGGGGCAGCTGCCTCAGGGCCACCAGGAGTAACTGGGCCCGGGGCAGCTGCCCCTTTTGCTCCTCCTTAAAGACGGCCCTGACTCCAAGGTCCATAGAAGGCAAAATTTATTGGAGCCAAATAACTTGCAGCAACGTTTCGACCTATGAAGGTCTTTCTCAAGCTAACATATAACTGATACACCACTACAATTTATAGGCAAAAAATTTAACACAAACATCACTTAGTGCACTTAGAGACTTTATTTTTTTCTAACTGAACTGAAACAGATTAGTAAAGTTTAAATGGGACAACAGCTCTGGGCACCAATCTCTAGAGCAGCATTTCACAAATGATGTTCCGCCATAATTTTGGCAAACAAAATGGCCGCCGCGAGACCACAGTAATGCTGGAGCATGACGTCACTCCGGCCCCAGTATCACAAAGAGGCGCGCAAGGGAACTGAGCAGGAAGATCACTGCTCCTTCTCTATCTGCACTGTATGCCTGCACGCCAGCCGCTCAGCCCAGCAGCCCCACTGGAACCCAGGGACTGCACGCCAGCTGTTTAGCCCAGCAGCATTACTGAATCCCAGGGAAATGGAGACTCCATTGCAGCACTCCCAAAAAAAAAATTGTGTGTGTGTCTGTTAAGGAGTTTGTATGTGTGTTTGTCAGTTTGTGTGTGTGTTTGTCAGTGAGAGTGTATGTGCGTTTATCACTGAGTGTGTATGTGTGTTTGTCAGTGAGTGTGTGTGTGTGTGTGTGTGTTTGTCAGTGAGAGTGTATGCGTGCTTGTCAGTGAGAGTGTACGTGTGCTTATCAGTGAATGTGTGAGTGTGTATGTGTGTTTGTCAGTGTGATTACATGTGTGCTTATCAGCGAGAGTGTATATGTGTTTGTATGTGTGTCTGTCAAAGAGTATGTGTGTTTGTCAGTGCGAGTGTATGTGTGTCTAAGTGTGTGTCAGTGTGTGTATCTGTGTGTCAAGGTGTGTGTGTATGTCAGTATGTGTGTATTGGTGTGTGTGTGTATGTGCCAGTTTGTATCTGTGTGTCAAAGTCTGTGCATTTGTCAAAGTGTGTATCTTTGTGTCTGTGTGTATATGTCAGTGTGTAGATGAATGTGTGTGTATGTGTCAGTGTTTTTATATGTGTGTCTGTGTGTTAATTTGTTTGTGTATGTATGTACGTATGTGGCATACATTCCAGCAAACACATATATGTGCATACATCCCAGCACTCAAACACCAACACAACATGCAAACACTCTCCTGCAAACACAAACATTACATACAAAAACCCCTGGATTCAAATTTCAAATTTATATACAAACACTCAAACACACCCTATATACATCCGCATATAAAAGCTAACACTACATCCAAGCACACCCCTGCATGCAAATGAAAACATTACATACAAACACAGCCCTGCACGCAAATGCAAACATTGCATACAAACACACCCCTGCATCAAAACGCTAACATTATATATAAACACCAACTGTACACACAAAAGCACACCTGCTCCTAAGTACTACTATCTGTTTACTATCTGTGCTACAGCGCCAAACATTTTTGGGGGTTCCACATTGCTAGCGCATTATGTCAAAGGGTTCCACTAGAAACATTAATTGGGAACCCCTGCTCTAGAGGGTTCCACTGGTGTGGGGTCACATCTTGCTACCTGTGTAATGTGCAACTGCACATTGATCTTTTAACACCAGGCACCAAGCACAGCACAGTGCCACTCTCACCCCCTGAGAAAGGTTAGAAGAGATTGGGAAAATAACAACATTATCAAAGTACAAGTGCCTGTTTATATATGTTTATATATGCATATGTGTGAACATTTGTTTGAGAATCAAGTCTTGTTGTTGGTGCGTCTTTGTGTGTTAATTGGGGTAATAAGTGAAAGGTCTGATAAGGAACAAGAGAGTGTGCCCTCCACAAATTGTAGTTGCCAGGGGTCAAGCAAATGGTCAAGGTGCCACTGGCTTGGGATATCTATCTTTCATACAGAGCCTGTACGCTCCTTTTACTACAAAATATGTCTATTTCGTTATAACAGATTTATTTGACTGACTATCAATTAGTACTGGGTTTTTTTTATCTTTATTTTTCGTGTGGAAAGATGATAAACACACGTGTATGGCCACAACAGCCTCTACACATTAATCAGCATCAGTGCATAGTAAATACAGGCATTACTGGATTCTTTTCACACACATTTTGTAGTTACAATTGGTCTCATTGTTATAGTGAGTTAGTTAAATCGTATAATTGTGCGGCTAGAAGGCACCTGTCTGTTTAGGTCACCCCTTGTTTTATGGGGTCTTAAGTGGAGGGGGAGGGTGGTTACGGCTAAGTCTGGATATTATTTATGGTTCCCTCCCATGTGTCTCAAGGTTGTGGGTGTATGGTGTGGCCCTTCTACGTATAGGCGTGGAGTGGGTTGTGGTGGTCGCGGGGTCCCTCCGTAGGTTTCCCGTCTAGGACTAAGACCGCTCCCTTGTTTGTTCCCGATTGTGGCCATTGGTTTACACCCACGTGTGTAGTGTTCCAGGAGTCGTAAGGTGTCTTTTCGTCCTAGTGGTGGCTGCGCGTGGTTGCTGGTCAATTTTACAGCTATGGCTTTTAAGTCTAGGTGTATATAAGTCGCTGTGGTGTGACAGGATCAAGCTGTACCCGTAGGGCTTCAAGCTAGGGTTATTAGACTTGGTGGTGACTTGGTGGTGAGCTTGATGCAAGTCAGGGTTGCTAGGTCGCCCTTCATGTCAGTTCCGTTTAACCCCAGGGAGGGGGGGGTGTCATTGGAGCAAGGGTGGTTGGCTCTAGTGGGCCTTTTCCGTACTGCAATAACTTTTAGAATGAGAAAGAACTATATGTAAGTTAAGTAACAGTCTTATTAACACTAAATATTTAAACTAAATATTTAAACTAAAGCCTAAGAGGCTGTCGGCAGAGGCAGTTCGTTCAGGTTTTGGGTTTGATGCCCCTGCTTGTTCCAGGAGTCGCGGTTGTATCTGCTGTTGTCCCTGGCTGATGGTCTAGCTGTGTTGTCAAGATCGATGCGAGGTTCGGTAGTCCTAGTGCAATCATCAGTGCTGGGCCCTCTGTGTGGTCGGTGGCCTTGTAGTGCTTATCATCTTTAGTGATCCAGAGAGTTCCTGGGGTCGCCCATCTATAGGCTATTCCTGCCGCTTGGAGTTGTTTTGTGATTGGGTGCATACTCTTGCGCCATTGTAGTGTGGCTCTGCTTAAGTCCTGAAAAAAGGAGAGTTTGCATGCTTCGAAGTCAAAGGGGGTCTTCCCTTGTATTGCTGCCATTAGCCCCAGTTTGTCTGACATTGATTGGCATCTTAGTATTATGTCCCGTGGAGCTGAGGTGGGTGCTTGTGGGGATTTGGCTATCCTGTAAATCCCATCTAATTTAAATATTTTTGTTTGTCTTGTCGGTAAGAGTTTGGCCACAAGGCGTCTAGTGAAATGTGGCAATTCTTCTAGTGGCACTGACTCAGGTACCCCTCGAATTTTGATATTTTTGTGGCGCCCTCTGTCATCCAGGAGGTTAACTTGCCTGAACATTGTCGCTTGTGAGGATTGTAGGTGTCGCACCTTCTTCCCCAGTTTCTGGTAGTTCTTCCTCAGTCCCTTGACCTCCTCTTCTATCGCCTGTGTGCGCGTGGATACTGCGTGCACATCTAGCTTAAGTACTGCCAGATCCGCTTCCAACATTTGTCTGATATTCTGTTGTATGCCTGTCAGCATTGGCTGTATGTCTTGTTTTGAGGCCGGTGTGCTGGTGTGAGGAACTGACTCTGCTGGGTTTCGAACCCTGGTTTACATGGTGCTAAACCTTTTCCTTACCAGTACACCAGCCTGCCTTTTGCAAATTTACCTGAGATCTTATACCATTGCTTGTAGAGTCAAGGTTATCAGTGACAACTCTCTTCAGCTGTGTCTGGTCAGGTGTCTGGTTCTTGGCCTATAAAAGCCACTTCCTGTCTCTGTACCTTTGCCAGATTATTGTGGTTCCTGTACTCTCTAATCAAGCGTGTTCCTGTTTCTCCTTCCTGTTGCTGAATTTGGACTGTTTTGACTTTGCTGCTTCTCCTTCCCACTGACCTCGGCTTGCCTCACTACGATTATCATCTTCTGTTCCAGTCTCCCATCTCTGCTTAAGACCAGAAGGCCACTCAAGGCTCAGGGGCTCAACCACCTGGGTAACGAGTGGCTACCTCTGGCAGAAAACATTGCTGATCTGGCTACTGGACTCCAAAACTTTGTAACATCAATATCATTACAGAATAATCTGGCCCATTCATGGAGACCGTCGGATCAGATTCTGCATTGGCCCAGCAGGTTGCTTTTAATGCAAGAACTATGCAGACCCAGGCACAGACCATTCAAGTGCTGCAGGATCAGGTAGCTGAACTGCAAAATGAAGTTCGATCAATGCATAGTGAGCTTACCAGCTACAGGGCACATGATGTTGCGGCTGCTGCTACTACTACTGTTACACCTGCACAAGATGCCCGCTTGCCTCTACCAGAAAAATTTGGAGGAGACCGCAAAAAATTCAGGGGTTTCCTAAATCAATGCCGTTTGCATTTCATGATGTTACCTAACCGTTTTCCATCTGAAAGAGAGAAGGTGGGATTTATTTTTTCCCTCTTCAAAGATGAAGCCCTGGCCTGGGGCTCCCCTTTTCTGGAACAGGACAGTCCAATCTTGGGAAATTTAAAAGACTTTCTTGAGGCC